ACATGGTTAGCAGAGGGGAGAATGGTGAACTTCGTGTTGGAGTGAGACGTGCAATGAGACAGCAAGCTAATGTTCCATCTTCGGTTATATCAAGTCACAGCATGCACCTGGGAGTCCTTGCAACAGCATGGCATGCTGTCAACACTGGGACGATGTTTACAGTGTACTACAAACCACGGTTTGTCACCTATGTTTTTTTTTCCATTGCATTATTTCACTCATAATAAGGCATACAATGTAAAACATTAATTTGGATCTTGGAAAGAAATTTTACAAGGGTGGGAAAAAACTCATTACCTTTCTAGCAACTTATGGTGATTGTAGTACGAACCAATAAGGTACTTCAGCTACATGTTCCTTTTGTTTATGTGACAGGACTAGTCCATCAGAGTTTATTGTTCCTTTTGATCAATATGTGGAGTCTATCAAGAGTAACCATTCTGTAGGGATGAGGTTCAAAATGAGATTTGAAGGTGAAGAGGCCCCAGAACAGAGGTATCGATAATCTATATTTTCAATTTACTCTAGGCATAAGGTTACTTTAGCAGTTTCTCGAGTTAGTTGATATAATCTTTTCTGATCTACACAATTTTTTGTGCCTAAAGGTTCACGGGAACTATTGTCGGTATAGGAGATGCTGATCCAAGTAGGTGGCCTGGTTCAAAATGGAAAAGCCTCAAGGTAACTTATTATGACTGTTGATATTATTCCTTGTACTAAATTGACTGACTGCATTTCAAATTTTAGGTGCGGTGGGATGAGCCATCTTCAATTCCTCGTCCAGAGAGGGTTTCTCCCTGGAAAATTGAGCCTGTTCTTACACCTCCCCTCAATCCCCTTCCCATGCCTAGGACAAAAAAGCCACGAACAACCTCCTTTCCTTGTTCCCCTGACTCATCTGTACCTAAAAGAGAAGGTAAAGAATGATTGGTAGGACTTCAATATTACAACTGTCATGATTCATTTAAAACGAAATTAAATAATGTGACATGCTACTTAGATGCTGCTCCTAAAGTCACTGCAGAGCCTTCCCAATCATATGGAGCACCAAGGGTCTTGCAAGGTCCAGAGATGATGACCTTGAGAAGTTCTTATGCTGATAGTAATGAGTCCGGTGCAACTCACAAGCCAGTAGTATGGTCAATGAATGATGAAGAGAAAAATGATGTTCCTACTCGGAGAAGATTGGGTTCAGATAGCCGGATGCTTATAAAAAGACACGAGCAAACATATAATGGGATATTTTCAGGATACTGCCCTCCTGATTCAAGTGGATTTCAGACACCATTTTTTGAGCAGACTCCAGGCGATAAGAATATTTTAAAGCCTCACTTTCAAGTTCAAGAGGCCAAACATAACTATTCTCCTGGCTCATGGTCCTTGATTCCTCCAAATTCGAACTTTGGAATGAGTGACCACGACTTTAAGACAACTGCACAAATTGGTGAGGTGTCTTATCAGAAAGCTGGAAATTGTAGATATGGCACACGGGGATTTTTTTCTGAACTTCAAAGTTTAGGAAGCATTCAAAATTCACCTAATTGGTTTACACATTTGCTGCCGGATTCTCAAATAGAGAACATGGCACAACCTAGGGTTGTGAAACCTCTACCTATGTTACCATCACAAACTGATGTGGCAAAGCCGAAAGCAAATAGTGGGTACAAGCTATTTGGGTTTCATCTGAACAGCAATCCAGTAATATCTGAATCAGTTATGCCACGGAGCAACTCAGCAGACATCCTAATGCCACATAGCCATCCAGAAGCAGCATTGCCCTATCAGCAAGGCTTAGAGGTTGACAAACACTCTGAGTCATCTGTAACTGAAAGGTTGGTTGGTGCAGCACCAACAAATGGTGAAACTGAAAAACTTATTCACGTTTCTCCACGGACTGCTCAAGATTTCCAGAACAAACTGCAAAATGGTTCAACTAGGAGTTGCACAAAGGTAATCCTTTTGAATTGCACAAATGTAGTATCTTTTTTTCTTCTTAATCAATGTTAGATCATGCTTCTAGTCATCTTTTGGCTACCGTCATTACCCTTGACATAGTGTGTTGCTTAGTTGATTTCTACCATGCATTATATCTATCTTTTAGGTTACAATTTGCTTATATTGACAATGGCAAAAGGTTAAGTTTCTTCAAAAGACTGGTCTCTTTGCACCAACAGTCTGCTTCATGAAACAAGTTCTGGGGCTTAAGGATCTTTAGATTTTGATTTAACATTTATGAAGATCACTGTAAGTCGTAAGTTTTATATAGCAAGGGCTTTGACCAAGTGTTTACATTTCAGGTGCATAAGCAAGGTATTGCTCTTGGTAGATCTGTTGATCTCACCAAGTTCAATGGTTATGATGAATTGATTGCCGAATTAGATCACATGTTTGAATTTGAGGGTGCACTAGTGTCTCCCAACAAAAGTTGGTTGGTTGTGTACACTGACAATGAAGGTGATATGATGCTTGTTGGAGATGATCCTTGGAAGTAAGTATTCGTATTTACTCTTTTTTCGGCTTTTCTTCATTTTGGAAGAGCTTAATTTCTAGGAAGCTAACTTGCTGCTGATTGCAGAGAGTTCTGTAATATGGTTCATAAGATATACATCTACACTCGAGAGGAGGTCCACCGGATGAACCCAGGAACACTAAGTTCTAGAGTTGAAGAGAGTCCAGCCACTTCTGACGGAAGAATAGCTGGCAAAGAACCGAAGGGCCCTGTGCCTGCTGCTATTTCTGAGAATTCTGAAAGGTGTCCAAGTATTGGCACGGTAAGTGGATTTCTGAGCGTCTGCCAAACCAAAAGTGTGGTCCTTTCAGAACTTACCTTTTATCAAATAACGTGGGGTCATCCCTACCTTTGGGTTCTCAGAATTAAAGTAGTTCCATTAAATATTTGAAGTTAGTTTAAGGTGCAGTAGTGTTTTCCTTGCTCTTTGAGCTTTAATATCATACTAAAAACTCGACCTCATTGATCGATCATTATATATCATGACGATGACAAAAGATACCCCCATATATGACATACTTTGGATCATCTTTTTGGGTTTCAGATGATTAGAACTGAAAGGGACTCATCTTTCTTGTCTGTCTATTGCACTGTGCAGGCTTTTTGAAGATGTTAAGCCAAAAAAACTGGAACGTTGAAGATAGCTTTTTGTGGTGGGTCCAACTTATGAAATGCTTTATGCTTTGGTAAGCCCCCATCTTTGTCCTTGTGCTTGCTGCTGGGGGCTTGGAACCTTTCTTATTTCCTACAGTTTTGGTGGTGCTGTAATTTTTTGCTTACAAAATCCCTTGTGGTATATATACCGGATAGGTAAGGTAGGGCTTGATCTTTTGCGCCTACCATGTGAATAGCCCATCCGTCTATTATAGTAATTATAACTCTCATCCCCCATCCTTTTGCCCTCTTCTGCATGCCACGGTAATTTTCTTCTTGGAATGAACATGGAGCGTGATTATATTCTCTGGATTGTTCAAAATCATACTCGGTTTAAGAAAATCGATAGATAGTTCTAGTTTGCAGTTTCATATTGTATATTGTTCACTCTAAATTTCTGATCAAATATTTGCAACTGAGCGCCTAACCTCTGGTTCTCAAGAAAACCCTAAGCTTGACAGGAAGTTATTGGAGCTTGTGTTGTCTCCCAGTTTACAACCTATGCTGTCACTACTGCACAGATTTGGCATGATGTGGATCATGGTACAGGAACGATGGATGAACAGTGAAATTTCTCACCGTTGCTAGTTTATACTTGGTAGTCAGCCAAACGTTGTTTGTGGATCTCATGTCTTCGCCAACAATTGTGGCTTCATATGAACTCCAGTGCTACATGCAGGTCAGATATGGACACCTTTGTGGGTAAAAAACCTACCAGGGTTTAGGTTAGACAATGCATTTCATTGAATCAATTAAATGCAGCCATGTTTTTTTTTTTTTTTTTTTATAAATGTCCAGGCCATGATGAGTTGAGAAAATCATTGTTTTGAAATGTCTTAAGAATTGTGTATAAATGTATCTCAAAAGGCTGGTAGAACATGACTTGCAGTTTGAAAGGAGGAAGAGAGTATCAATTTCCAAAATCTTCCGTCAAAGCAGTTTTAAACCGTATGTGTAGTACTTTTCCTCACCTTTCCGTGCAGGGTTTCTGCTAGTATACATATGACAAGCTACTGCTGTGCTGTTGGGACATGTCATGAACGCTGCTGGCGCTTGTGGCAGGCAGTCTGGCCCCATACGTGAACAATAATGCGGAGAGGGGAGATGTAAATTGAGATCAATCAATAGCATTTGCCTTCAATGCCCGTCTGTTCGAGGTACGCCCACTAAGTGGAACCCCTTTCTGTTCAATTTCCTCTGTCTGAGAATTGACGTGCATGTGTACGTACAATGCTGTGATTTTTACCTGTTACCAATGCTAGCTAAATCTTCTCATTTGTTTGAGACCTTATGTGAAGTTTCACTATTGGTAATATTGCAATTTTCGTTGTCAGAAAGTTGCATCAGACTGCAGAGTTTCTGTGTTAAGCAAATTGGCAAACGTACCTGCACTGAAGATTGTCATAAATAGGGGAGTTTTGTGTGAACTTGATAAGATGTTATTCCGGCAGATTGTGACTAGTCGGTCAGAGCACAAATTGGTTGATGGGCTATTAAGACCAAATCGAACCGTTACTGTGTTAAGAAAGAGAATGTAGTAGTTTATTGATATGTATGGCATACAAAAACATATGGATGGATCACTCGGCTAAAGAGAATGCTGCCACTTGAACTGTACTTGGATGTTTGGTTGGTTGTATTGAAGAGGGTATGGATTTTGATGTTTAAGCAGGAATTCTTATGAATATAAAGGCAAGAACTCAATTTATTATTGTCTTAACTTGGCCATTAGCAGAGAAAACATTGTTGCTTCACTGCCTGGAATCATCTACTCTATTGCCTTACATACATACAATGGGGTGTTCGAAGACACAAAGTGACTTAAAGAGGATAGGAGTTGGTAATATGATCCTAATTCCATTGATCAAAGAAGCATTTAGGACAAAGCTCGAAACATTCTAACACGTACGACCAGCATCCCCAGGACAGCCCACATGGCTACCACCCATCACCATTAATTCCAGATACAATGATAAAGTCCACTCTCTTCCTGAGCGGTGGTTCCTTTCAAAGCCAGATTGGTATGGTTTATATTGTCTTTCATGAAATGGACCTCCATTCCTTTCACTGCCTCCAACTAATGAACTAAGATAAGATCATCGTGAATGCACCATCTCCACTACAGTTTGGGTCCATGCACACATGTAAACCAGTTGTGACCAACTCTGTCATGGGTTAATCCCCTCCGGCATCGGCAAATTAAGGTGCTTGTAGCTTGTGAACCCCCCATCCACCACGAGATTATGACCCGAGACGTACTTGGACTCATCAGACGCCAAGTAAACGGCCGCCTTCGCCACATCCATCTCCTCACTCCTTGCTCCCCTCAGCTCGCTCACACTATCCACGATCTGCTCCATCCTTTGCCTTCCCACGTCGCCGTACAACTGGGTGAATTGATCCACCACCAGGGGCGTCAGGGTCACGAACGGCGAGATGCAGTTGATTCGGACCCCGCGGCGGCACAGGTCGCCGGCCAGCGACCTCACCATGCCCGCCACCGCGAACTTGGAGATGGCGTACGGGTGCGTGCCGAGGCCGCCCATGAGGCCGCTGATGCTGGAGACGCAGATGATGGAGCCGGCGCCCGCCGGGCTCATCACGCGGGCAGCGTGCTTGACCCCCGCCAGTGTCCCCCGGACGTTGACGCCCATGACGAGGTCGAAGCTAGCGAGGTCGAGGCGGGCGACGTCGGTGGCCGTCGGCGGCCCAGCGATGCCGGCGCTGTTGTGCATGATATCAAGCCGGCCGTGGCGGACCACGGCGAAGTCGACGGCCTCGGCTACCTGCGGCTCCACGGTCACGTCGCATTCGACGAATTCGGCTTTCGGGCCGAGCTGTTGGGCTGCTTGCCGGCCCAACTGCGCATTGACGTCCGCGAGGACGACGCTCGCACCCTCCTGGATGAACTCGAGGGCCGTCGCCTTGCCCAACCCGCTTGCTCCGCCGGTCACCAAAGCCACCTTCCCCTCCAACCTGCGGCGGTGCATTTAGAACAGCGAAACAGTCATCAAACGACTGTCGCGTCCCAATAAGAACTTCGCCTCGCATGAAGCCAAGACCGACTCTTAGACTCACCTGCCGCTCCGCACCGCCGTCGAGAACTTCACCCGCTTCTGCCACGAGCCATCCTTCCTTCCGGCCACGGCCACTCTCCTGCTCCGTTTCACAACCCACAGTGATCACAATTCGAGAACAATCGACAGCCTCCACACCTTTAATCTCAATCCCGGAGGGCAAGAAACCACGTAAAACCAAAAAGGTGGAAGCCAAAGAAACGGAGAGTACGTGCCTGGAGACAAGTCGGAGCATCCTAACAACGGTGAAGGTGAAGGTAGGGTGGGACACGATCCTTGGACCACGGAAGCTCGCTTATATTTCTATTGCCTTCGCAGCTCCTTCGGTCTGCGCTCTCTCACCTTCCTCCACTATATAACGACGACGAGCTCGCTTCCCCATGCAACCCGCTTGCCGATATAATATTATCTGCGATAAAAAAAAAAGAGTAGATCTGCTTTTTGGATCCGAAAAGGCCAATTTGGGATGGACAAAATGGAAAACATAAGCCCTGCCAAAAAATCACGTCGGGAAGAGCCTATCGATGCTTCTGTTACACGTTAACTCGCAGCAGACCCCCTCGCAGGGAAACCATTGTTTACACAGCACGAGATGTCGCCCCCTTCCGATGACTTCATACCGCAAAACAGGGGAGGCCCCGTTGGGCCCCTCCTCGCTGCAACTCGCCTCGTAACGCAAAGCCCTGTCAGCCACCGGTTTACCGACGCGTGTCCCCCCAATCGGGTGGCGCCCGTGCTTTGGAACTGCGCGTTGCTGCATGGTGGGCCACGTACGGCAGCAAAACCCGTGGCGTTTGCTTTAATATTCGCGTCGGCTTTTGTCTTCCCGCCTGAGGGAGAGGAGGGGACGGAGAAGGTCACCGTGTGACAGGCAGCGAGTGGTCTCGTCAACGTATAAGGGGAGGGTTTGGTGTGCTGTATCATCGTTGTTGCTGCTTTCGGGAGAGCAGAAACAGAGGCAGGTAGAGAAAGAGAGAGAGAGGGTAAGAAAATGATGGCCCGGCGTGCTCGGTCTCAGCTGAGTTGAAATTAATTGCAGAGCAGGTGAGCGAGGAAGGTTTCAGCCATAAAAGCTGCTCCCAGATCTTCCAAAAGCAGGTGGAGAAAAGATCTCCGCAGCAGCAGCTTCACCTCGTTTCGTTCCTTTGAGGGGTAAAACCTCCCCGATTCTTTGACCGGAGGAATCAGAGAGCCAAGACATCAGATGAACCATCACGTCTATGGCAATAAAAGCTATGAATACAGGTGATGACATTCCAGTTTCAAGAGGACACAGAACACATGGTTTCGGCTCGAAGAAGCTGGCATGACAAGCACAGCTCACTCACCTTCTCCCTTCTCTTGTCTGTATTATTAATGTGTTGGCCATGGCTGGTCGGTCTTCTGGACCATCATCCATGGCGTGGCATCAGCTAAATGCAGGGAAAAAGGGTCCAATCGTGCTGTGTTTTGACTCTGCAGTGGATGACTGCTGCCATGAACTCCAAAAAGCTGGTGCGCCTAATGCCACTACATCCAAAAAGCAACCCCTCTCTCCCCCATCATCTTCTTCGCCTCCTTTTATCCCCCATGCAGTTGTGTTCCACCCCTCCCTGCGATCATTTGATGGAATTCCCATGTTGTCTCTTTCATCAGGGTGGGGAGACATCCCCAGCTGGCCTCCCCTGTTGCTGCTGTACGTGTACGCCACACTATTAACAACAGGGTGTGGCTTTCTTTAATGCTTGTGCCATGCAATGATGACGGGCTGGCCGAACCGCACGATCGCAATCGGACGGCCCTCGATTCGGATCATTACTGCCTCCGCCGCCGCCGCTGTCGTTATTTGGTTGGTCGCCGGATTAATGGTGTCATTTAACTCCCACCTTTCACGTTGAGTAGCCGCAGGTTTCTTTAAGTAAAAGGAAAGCTTTGTTCTTGTCGACTTCCAACTTTTGGGACGATCCAAGAGATAGCTTGCAATTTAGGCACTCATTAGCTACTTGTTGGTTGCGAGAAGGATTAGAATAGGCTGAAATCATTTAATTTGCGGCGCTTCGCCGACGGCTTCATTCGATTAATAGAAGGAGATAATGTGTACTGCCAAGTATAAAATAAGAAGCGTACAAGCTGGCCATGCATGAAGCTTCACATCTTTGCTTAATTATTATGGTATATTACTCTTTCATGCAAGCTTCTTCGTGTCTCTCTCATTGTCCTTTTAGCATGTGGCATTAATACAAAACACACTTAGATATGTTAATTGATAAAGGCACGTGATAGAGATACACATGAAATAATATCTTTTATTTTTTATTTCCTTTTATCATGTGGCATTAATATAATATCTTTAAGTGTTTGATTGAGGAAAATATCAGAATCAAAATCTATACAAATACTTATCATTTCAATGAATAGAATCATCTATTTTATAATATATTTCTCTATTCTATACAGTATCAGGCTTTTCCTCTTTTGCTCGATGATCTTTCTCAAACCTCGACATCTTGTTATCTTTGCTGTCATTGCTACGACTTCAGTCATCGAAAGTCGTGCTACCCTTGATTGATCTAACGTCTCCCCTCCCTCTCTTCCTTTCCACCCATCGTCGGTGCGCCTCTTCTCCACCTTGTTGCAGTTGTCTTCCCCCTTCCTCCCTATGCCGACAACAGCCTCCTCCCTCTTCCGAATTGATACGACAACGTTTTCGCAGTGGTTGTGATTGCCCTGCTTCATCTAAATTGCTAATACTACTCCTTTCTGGCGATTTTGTTGTCCTGCTCATAGATCAGACCCCTTACTGGTTCTCGTTCAGGTCATTGGACTCTCTCTTCTTCCTCCGAAGCGTCAATGACACCACTACCCTACTCTGCTTCGACAAGACCAGTTCTGCTTCCTCCTTCTCTTATGGCATTCCCTACCCCCAGATCTCGTGGAACTCTAGTGAAGCATCCCCACTTGTTTCTCAAATCATCACATCTTGTCGATCTTTACTCTGAGCGCTCTTTGCCTGGCTTCTTTCTAGGGTGACAAACCTCACATTCCAAACTTAAAAAAATTGAAGTATTAGGTTGTTTATGTTATCCCTAGCTATAACCCTATACTTCATATAAGTTATCCTCAAGATTCAAGCATTGAATATAGGGACTCCATTGAACATAATATTTTTCGGTACTATAATCCTCAAACTTAAAAAATCTTTATATCACGTCATTTTAATTTTGTTAAGTCTACTTTTCTCTTCCAAAATCATAGGTCTTTAGCTACGCGAGCCACTTCAACAACCCCACATATTGGATTCATATGAGTATACTTCAGACCCCCTCAAACATACCTCTTACTATGTCAACTAGTAGTTTTCTTTAAGGCATACACTCTCTTGTCACTCTAATTCAGCAACACCTCACATTCTCTATAATTTCTCCATAAATTCATCCTGATTTGCCCGATGAAGCAAAACCCTTAGCACTAAAAATGATTTTTTTTATCCTCTCCTTGGTCAAATGATACCGAAGTACATCAGCTTAGTCAAGTATGTGTCAATAACTCTTAACTAATTCTCATACGTCTAACACAACCTAATAATACCATTATGCTTGAATATCACATGACATATACAAGTCATAGGTACCCTACAAGCTAATCACGTGAGTGATGACACGTGTAATATGATATGTACTCTTTTTATATATTATTTATTTGATATTCTTCTCATTTTATATTATTCGTTATATAAATTGTGATATCTATGAATCTATTTAGTGAAAATCGGATCGTGATGAGATCACGATAATGAGATCGATTCGTCATTAAACACATACTCTAAATAATACGGGTCATAGGTTACTCGAGAGAGACATCGCGATAACCAGATATATTGGTATACTATATATCTGTCTATATGATGGAGGCGGTTGGTCTCATAATTGCTTGTGTGGGGACAATAGAGATACAGTGTAAGTGCTCATTAGAGAACGAGTTCATTTATTGATTCGCTCATAGAATGTTGGATGATTGATGATACCTTATTATCAGATAGTAATTTTGTCATCCCAGTGGTGTATTTAGTCCTTAAACTTAAGATACCAAGGATATCCTGTATAAATACTTCACTCTTTGATATCAGACTTAGGGGCCTGAAAATTTCAAATATAATACAACCGGTTATCAAGAAGGGTAACCAACCTTACAAGGGTAATTGAGTGTCGATAGAAGATTATTCTCTCTCGATGTCATAAGAGAAATATCCTATGTGTTCTTGTTCAGAAAAATCTTTGGCTAGGGTCATTCAGATTGAGAGAGAAAGTTATTCTGGAGAATCTGATTAGAGCGAGATTCAAGTAGAAACCGTATGAGCCTAACAACATCATGCCCAGAATACGGTCTCTAGGATATTAAATGGATGAGAGACTATAGATATACAGTAATTGAGGACAGACATATTCAATAGATTGGATTCCCCTGTATTATTTGGGACAGCAACTTAGTGGCCTAATACGTCCATAGTCGATGAGTCGAGTAAAATATTATAAAGATAATAATTCACTGAACCAAAAAGAGTTCTGACAGGTATAAATTATGACCAGCTCATTATTAGGCTTAGAGGGTCACATGCATATGGCAGGTGTTGCGACGAGTAAAGGTTCGGATATGAGATATCTGCCAAAGCCCCTATCTTATTGGATATCCAATAAACCCCTAAATTATTATATCTTATGGATGAGATCTAATAGGTGTCAATGAGAGATTATTGGGTAGAGATCCATTAATTTAAGTGGCTTGGGTAGTTGGATGAAGATCTAATACCCAATAGGCAAGATCCAGTAGGGTAAGTTTATAGGGACCTCTATAAATAGAAGGAAACCAAAGGGTATAAACTAGACTTTTTTTAGTTACCACCTCTTATTCTCCTCTCTCCCTCTCCTTCTCAGCCAACAGCCTCTACTTGGGGCACGTAGAAAGCAAGAAGAGCTTATCCCTTCTTGATCGCATGGTGCGCATGGAAAGGAGGATTGTGCAGTGATTTGAAGAGCGTCTTTGCAGCTCATACTATATATATCACTGTTAGAGAGGAGGACAATTGACTTCTTCATCCTCTCCCATAGATCTATAGGTTTTCAGGGATATATGATATCCCTAGGTAACACATCTTTCTTATATGCGTAGTTTTCGATTTTGTGGGTTTTTACGCACTAATCTTCGCACGAAGACGGAACCTTCTTATTTTCTGTGAAAGTATGAGATTTTTATTTTCTACCCTTCCACTATGCATATGATGCCATTCTAAATTTTTCAATAATAATACGCTCCAAAAATAACATCTTTAAACCATATTAAATACTTGACCTTCATGCTATCACAAGCTCTTCATGTGAACCTATTGAACTCACAATTATCACTTAAGCCTAAAAATCTCCACACTAGCATAAAGCCATACCTGAAGAATATGATGTCATACTGTATAATGACAAATAGACCCTTATACTATTTCATCATACACAAAATATCATCGGATGTAAGTAGATTTTTTAAATTAAGCAGAACCAAATGGATTCGTTGCCAAATACAAAACATGTCTAAAAGCTAAAGGGTTTCACTAATGACCAGATGTTGACTTCTTATAAACATTTAGTCCAATTGTTAAACTAACAACAATTCTACTTATCTTAAGTTTGGCTGTCACTCAAGGTTAACATATACATCAATTAGATATTAACAATGCTTTTTTACAGGAGACCTTAACTGAAGATGTCTTTATGTAACAATCTCTTGACTTTATCCACCATCTATATCCAAGCCATATTTGTAAACTACAAAAATCTATTTATCGTCAAGCTCGAAGAGTTTGGTATATCAAAATTGGCTTTTTTTGGCATTAACTTACTTAATCAACTCCAAGTTTGATACCTTATTATTTGTACGGTAACAAAAGGGAAATACTATATATCTATTAGTGTTTGCAAATGACATTATTATTACATGTAATAATCTTATGGCGATAAAGTAATTCCTTAAGCAACTGGCAAATCGATTCTTCAACAAAGATCTAGGAACCTTACGCTACTTTTTGAGAGTAGAAGCAATGTTCATATCTTCTAGACTTTTCTTATCTCAAAAGAAGTATGTTCAAAATTTACTATCAAAGATGAACATGTAGAATGCCAAAGAAATTGTCACCCGACTCTCCACTTTTGAATCACTCAAACTATATGATGGTAGCCTTACTATGGATCCTACATAGTGCCAACAAATACTTGGCTTTTTATAGTACTTATCTCTCACACGTTCCTATATCTCATTTGTAACTAATAAATTATTATAATTTATATATTAATCCTCCACTATACATTGGTCTGTAGTAAAACGAGTCTCACGGTATCTAAATGAGACTCTTAATCATAGACTTTTTCTTCATAAACACTCGTCACTTCATTTTTATACATTCATCGATACTAATTGGGCAAACAACATTGATGATAGGGTGTCTACGTTAGCCTATATTGTCTTCCTTAAGGCAAGTCCAATCAGTTTAAGTTTTAAGAAACAAAAAAAATTGTAAGATCCATCATTGAAACTAAATACCAAGCCATCGCCACCACCGATGTAGAACTCAATTGGGTCACCAATCTACTGTAGGAACTTAACATTACCTCTAAATCAACTCTTATAATATACTATGATAATGTCGGTGCCACCTATCTATAAGCCAATCTAGTATTCCACTCATGCATGAAACATATTATCATCGATTTTTTACTTTGTCATAGATCAAGTTATCAATCATCAACTACATATTTTTTATGTACATACTTCTGATCAACTAGCATACTTCCTTACAAAGCCTCTCCCTTATAAGACATTTCAATTACATCGGTCCAAGATTAACATCATTGATAGAAGATTAATCTTACAGGGGCTTAATAGAAGATCATAATAGAAACACAAATGGAATAACATCCTTGCTTCCTTATATCCTCAATCAATCTACGATTTGAGGATTAATCATGGATTTGAATAGCTAACCTGATTACCTGATTCGAGTGTTTGATCATGGGAAATCTTTCAATTAAGACCTGCATAAATACTTATCATTTCAATGAATAGAATCATCCCTTTCATAACATATTCTTCAATTCTACACTAATTGACCTCCAAAACAGATCTCCATGTCCAAATTCTAATAATCCAAAGCAACATTATCTTTTAGCTAACTATATATCAGAATTGCCGAAGTCGGCTGGAATTAAGGGACATAAAAGATGGATTCAATTGAATTGGATTTGTGTCCATTGGGCTCCTGATGGTCTCTGGTGTTTGAATTGTTGGGCCGCTATGTGGCCCGAATTAAATGGTGTCATTAATCGGCCCATTAGACCTTCAAACCCACACGAGTTGCAATGTTGGGAACGATATCATATAAAATGAGTTGTGATAAGGGAAACAAAACAAATAATATAAAAAATATTATAGAAATATATAAAAATGATGTAAGTTAATTGGATGATTATGTCAATAATTTCTTAATTAAATAGAGAAATAATATCTCAAACAAAATGTTGAGCCATCATAATTTAACCAAATGTGTATGAATTGGATTTGGTGTGAGCTCAATTATTTTGACAGGTAAAAAATAGCCTTTTTAACGGGTTAGCGGATTCGGATTCATCACTGCCATCCGTCAAGTAATAGGATCCACTTGAGCGGGCCATGGGAAGACCCGATTTCCTCGTCACGCGAATCGTCACGCAACCGATCGCTTTCATTCACCGTATCATTGATGACGTCCAACACGGTTTTTGTACCCACGACGCGACCTCCTCGTGCGTCGTATAGATCATTGGTAGATCCAATCACTAAGAAGGTACAAATGGTGTACGGTTTTAATGGTCCAGAGAAGGTCTTCTGGGAAGAGCTATAAATGTGTCGCGCTCCTCTCGGCGTCCTCGCCGCCGCCTCCTCTCCCTTCGTCCCCTCGTCACGAAAGGACGGGTGACGGGTGGTCCGCTTCTCCTCACCTTCCCTTACATCTGCTCTTAGGGTTCGTTTACTCGGTCAGCGCCAGATTTCATCGCGTCTATGATTTCATCTGCTTGTTTAGCTCAAAGATTGCCAATGTCGGTGATGAGTCGTCGTTGTGTCGATTGATCCTCGCGGAGGCATTCCGGCGATTCTGTTCTTGGGTTGTTATGTTTCTGCTTCCATCATCTTGTTGATCTCCCATTTCCTTATTTTGCATTGGGTTGCTCTTGGGAATCTAGATTTACATGTGATCGGACGCAATGATGTTCTGTAAATAGCATTTAACTCATGCGATGTAGCTATTTTGTAGTTGAAATTGTTGTCTTGCACATGGTTTATACCATTATCTCTTCTTGGATGATATATAGTGTAGACAATGAATTCAAGTATCTGGTTGGCGTAGAACTTGGGAGGCTTTGGGAGCATCAGGGCATTTTTTTGGTTAATGATTACATGTATCGTGTATTAGGTTTTTAGCGACAATGTCATTCTAGATCGCTTAATGTTTGTTCAAGACTTTTCAAGGAAAAGGTTATGTTTTTTGAGGTGCCAGAAAGCTTGGATTGAGCTTCTTCTGATTTTCTCTCTTTCTAAATCGTGGCACTAATTTATCTCAAACTAGAGAAAATATTATTTAGCATTGTCATCGATCCATACTTATTCTCAATCCGAGGGATGCATTCCTAAGAAATTATTCCTCAAAAAATATTCTTGAGAACATAAACAAAAGTTTGTTTGGTAAATTGTGATTTTGAAATAATTTCAAAAGATTGAAAGAGTATGGAGACAGATCATAAGTTATCATATGCAAAAGGAGTGAGTGTGGTAGAAATTGGGAAAAAAAACTCACAAGTTACCATTCTTGTTTATCTAAATTTTACCTGTCACCTTATGGCATTTCCTTTTTCCTCTTACCTTTTACCTTCAGGCATTAAGCTTGAGATCTCCAATAGTACTAGTCACTATGTGGTCAATTATCTGAGATAATAATTTGTTGATATAAGAAGGTGCTAATATTCATGTCTAACAATATCTTGTTGCCTGCAGGTACTGCGACCACCTAAGTTTATTTGTCTCCTATTAATTATTAGAAGAAGAGATGGCTGGTTCTTTGGTTCAGTCGGCAGTTCTTCCTGCTGTCATCATGAACAGGAGCCACAGTCAGCTTCAAGGTTCTGGAAAGGCTAAAAGGGGTGCCAGAATGATATGCCAGCTGCAAATGCATCCCTTAAGACTGCAAGGGTTTGCAGGCTTGCGAGTTGCAGATAACTTGTTCTCTTCAAGACATCGACAGGATTTTCATTCAGTGGTTTCAGGATATATAACTAACCCACGGGGAAGACCCAGTCGATTAGTCACCAAAGCTATGTTTGAGCGATTCACGGAGAAGGCAATTAAAGTTATCATGCTTGCTCAAGAAGAGGCAAGACGTCTAGGCCACAACTTTGTTGGAACAGAGCAAATATTGTTAGGCCTTATTGGTGAAGGGACTGGTATTGCCGCAAAAGTTTTGAAATCAATGGGAATTAGTCTTAAGGATGCCCGTGTGGAAGTGGAAAAGATTATTGGAAGGGGAAGTGGATTTGTTGCTGTCGAGATACCTTTTACACCACGTGCAAAGCGCGTTTTAGAACTATCTTTAGAGGAAGCTCGTCAACTTGGTACTTAAACTGTCCTGCAGACAGTTTTGTCTTAAACCTGTCATTTAACTCCTGTTTCTATAAACTTGTAATACTTTGTTGAAAGCATTATACTGATGATCACCTATCTTCTGATTTGCTAATGTAAATATATGCTGCTCTGTTTCTAGTTCATTTCAAATTTCCCTTTCAAATGACCATGCAATCTTAGTGCCCTTGTTTTTTCATGTAACTCAGGACATGTTAGAAATGCAGTTTACTATACGTGAATCTAGTGCACTTTTGTTTAGTTTGCAGTCAAAGTAAGAGGTGAAGCATAATAAAATATAGAATTCAGCATTGAAATACCATCAACTTCAAAGCAAAAGCTTTAAATGACTGACAACATAATTTGAGTCTGTTAACTGATTGATACAATTTCCACTCCCTTTAATCTAGGAAATGGACTTATATAAGTAGAGTTTTTTCTGGTTCACTTCATCGGAACAAAACCAATGGAATTTTGAACTTCCCACCGAACAAAACCAATGGATAACTGTGGCCATATGGTGTACTGCCACACTACCATCACTGTTGCCATTGCATTGCATTTCTGCCTTAGCCAGCCTGGATTCCTCCAGCCATATGGTGCTTTGCCCGCACTCACTCTTACTGTTGCCAATATGTCACAATGCCACTTCAGCCACTGAACCAAACGAGTGCACCTATGTTTTTAAATTTTGCCATTTTCTGCACCTGCACCAGCACCAGCATCTCACCCATTTGTGACCAGTTTCTGGCAACATAGACGGTGTCATATACATTATGAGCTTTTCAGCAATGTGTTTGATTTCTGTTGTGGTATACTTCATTTATTTATACAAAGATTTCTGGAATTTCTGGATAACCCAGCATCTCTACAAGGACATCATTGCCTTCGATACATATGTGCATGCTAAAAACCACTGTGGTAACCTCTAGTTTTAGCTGTCCCCAAAACCCTGACTAGAACGGATTAACTGTCTCCCCACAGAATGCTTGTTGTTTCCTAAGGGGATGTTTGTTCTCATGCCTTCTGAATCACTCCAGCAACATTCATCCATGAATTCTGCAGATAGACGCTGTTAACAAGCATGATCACATGAATGCATTTCTTCTTTTCCCTGTGTGTTAAGTTTGACTGATTCACATATTTTGGTGAATTTTCAGGTCATAATTATATAGGATCTGAGCATTTGCTTCTTGGGCTTCTTCATGAGGGTGAAGGTGTAGCTGCTCGTGTGCTTGAGAGTCTTGGAGCTGATCCAAGCAACATACGAACCCAGGCAAATTTTTGTTTAGTCCATGTTCTTCGTTGTTGTAAATTTTTAAAAGTGATGTGAATTTTGAGCTTATTATGGAATAGGTAATTCGAATGGTTGGTGAAAGCACTGAAGCTGTAGGTGCCGGGGTTGTGGGGGGAAGCAGTGGCAATAAAATGCCTACTCTTGAGGAGTATGGAACTAATTTGACAAAGTTGGCTGAGGAGGTATTCTTTCTTGCCATCCACTCTGTTTCGTCCTGGTTGTTATTACAAAACAATCATCTAAGGCAGATAATTACACTGCAGGGCAAACTTGATCCAGTTGTTGGCAGGCAGGAGCAGATAGAACGTGTTACACAAATTCTTGGAAGGCGTACGAAGAACAATCCTTGCCTTATTGGGGAGCCCGGTGTTGGAAAGACTGCCATTGCAGAAGGACTTGCCCAGCGTATAGCTAATGGAGATGTTCCAGAAACAATCGAAGGAAAAAAGGTTTGTTGGATTTTTTCTCTTCATTTTATACTTATATGCATAATGTATCCTTGTAGTTGTAGGTTGAGGTTCATCTAAGCCTTTGCCTCATATCGTCAGCTCGTATATCTTGATTCCTTGTGCCATAGGCTTCATCATGCTTCCTTTATTGAGATTGCTTCTTCTTGTCAAAATTTTCATCTGTGCTTCAGTATGACGTTGTCCTTGTTTAATAGCATGTCTGGTTAGCTGAAGAATATTTCATGTTGGTTGCAAGACTGTCCTGTCTGTATCACTGTTGTCTTTAAATTTGTTATAATTAACACTAACTTTAAATGTAGGTGATTACCCTTGATATGGGGCTTCTTGTCGCTGGTACTAAATATCGTGGAGAGTTTGAAGAAAGATTAAAGAAGTTGATGGATGAAATTAAACAAAGTGATGACATAATACTCTTCATTGATGAAGTACATACATTAATTGGAGCAGGAGCAGCAGAAGGTGCTATAGATGCTGCCAATATCTTGAAACCAGCTCTTGCAAGAGGTGAACTGCAGGTATAGTGTATGCATTTGTTTTTTTTTTTTCCTTTGTTTCATCATCTATGATCTATCTTCATATGTTATGAACCAGTTGTTTTCATTCATGGAAAGCTTTAAGCTTTTAATGACTTAAGGCAGTGATTCTTTGGCTAATTTGTTTCAGTGTGTTGGAGCGACAACACTCGATGAATACAGGAAACATATTGAGAAAGATCCTGCTCTGGAAAGACGTTTTCAACCTGTAAAAGTACCAGAACCAACAGTAGATGAAGCAATTCAAATTCTTAGAGGGCTTCGTGAAAGATATGAGATTCACCACAAACTCTGTTACACTGATGAAGCTATAGTTGCTGCTGCTCAGTTGTCCTTTCAATATATTAGGTCTGTGAGCTATGTTTTAACAGTCCTTTATACTTATCCAAATCTAACAATCATTATCTCTACTTGTTTTACACAACTAAATATTTTGGATGTTTTGTAACTTCTATTTTCTTCCCCTTATCTCTATGGATGGAAGCATGAATGCCTAAATAATACTGTTCTACTTTTGTTCTTTACTCATTGTTTACTTCATTGGGTACTTGGAATGGATTGTAAATATTTCATAGAGTTCTTTTCTTTTGTTGTTATATTTTTGCTAACCTCTTGTTTTGTACTGGTGAAATCTCCAACTGAAAAACAAAAAATTAGATGGAGTGGTTGTAAGATTCTTTAAAAGAAAAAGGTGATGAGGATTCATTGGATAAGGACTTTTTTTGCTAGCTTGATGAGTAAAACAGTGAAATTCTGGAGCCTCAACATTTACATGTTTTGTTCAGTGTGCACATGAATTGTCCATTCTAATGCTAGAATAATAATATTCTAGTTGATTCAAACTAATACTATCTTGTTATTGGATTCGGTTTCTATAGATACGAGGCATTTATTGCCTATGAGAATGAATTGAAATGTAGTGATCTGATTAATTTCCTAACAAATGTTCATTTTGCTGTTAGTGTCATATAATTTACTTATATGACACTAGAAGATTCTAGTGCAAGTTGAGCCTAGAACAATTATAACAGAAGTATAAAAAAAAAACAAGTACTAGAAGATACTAGTTCTTAAGCTTGATTCAAAAACAAGCAAGTAAATGGTTGAAGATTTATGTATGTATTAGAAGCATGGAGATTTAACACCCAAATGACGGATGATAGTTTTTAATGACTCCACTGGTATTGTTCTCTCTTTATTTTTTTTTCTTTGATGTTGGAGAAGAAAAATATCATCCATGGTGGAAAAAAGTGAAGCAAATTCTCTTTTGGGAAATTTCTTTTCTAGTGGATAAAGTTTAAGTCTGTGTTCCATTGACTCTTCATTGATTTAGCTTTGATGTGTCTAATTGACTCTTGATGAACTTTGATGATTGCACAACACCTTCTTTTGGTATTCACTGCTATATTTTTTTTCTCCTAGTGACATTTTCTGAAGTCAGTAGTTCTTCCCTTGTGCTTTACTGTGCTATCCTATGAGTTCTTTGAGTATTCTAGTCTTCTTCATTCGTCTTGGTTTAACAGATGAAAAGAAATGACCATGGAACAGTGCAAATCCTTTCTATTTTCAGAAGACTTCATATTCTGTCACTAATGCAAAGGTTATTCTTATACACTTAACATTTCTTATACATTTTGCTGTGCCGTCAGTGACCGCTTCTTGCCTGATAAAGCAATTGACTTGATTGATGAAGCTGGTTCTCGTGTTCGGCTTCGTCATGCAAAGGTAAGGTATTATACTCTCTAGTTTGATGTTCTGCCAATTGTGTTTTAAGCAAAACTAGTTCTTGACAGCTTCCTGAGGACGCCAGAGAACTTGACAGAGAGCTAAGGCAGATTACAAAAGAAAAAAATGAGGCGGTCCGCAGCCAATATTTTGAAAAGGTACATCAATTGTTTCAATTTAATTTTGAATATTATCATTTGATTGCGCTAAGAGTACATCTTATTCATGTATTTTAAGCAGTATAACTGAATAATACCTGGTAACGTTTGTGTATCCTGTAGCTGCTCCTAGGTATGTGATCCTAAAGTATCTATCTGATTCGGTTTTTTGGACAGGCAGGGGAGCTGCGTGATCGGGAGATGGAGCTTAAGGCTCAGATCTCAGCCCTAATTGACAAGGGGAAAGAGAGAAGCAAAGCGGAGAGCGAGGCTGGTGTTTCAGGTCCTGTGGTGACAGAAGCAGACATCCAGCACATTGTGTCTTCCTGGACTGGAATTCCTGTGGAGAAAGTCTCCACCGACGAGTCTGACCGCCTCCTCAAGATGGAAGAAACCCTCCACAAGCGTGTCATTGGCCAGGACGAGGCTGTCAAAGCTATAAGCCGTGCCATCCGGCGAGCTCGTGTCGGTCTCAAGAATCCCAACCGTCCAATTGCCAGCTTCATATTTTCTGGTCCAACTGGTGTTGGTAAATCAGAGTTGGCAAAGTCACTAGCCTCCTATTATTTTGGCTCTGAGGAAGCCATGATCCGACTGGACATGAGTGAATTCATGGAGAGGCACACCGTATCCAAACTCATCGGATCCCCACCTGGTTATGTTGGTTACACCGAGGGTGGTCAACTTACTGAATCTGTTCGTCGTCGCCCTTATACAGTTGTTCTCTTTGACGAGATAGAGAAAGCCCATCCTGATGTTTTCAATATGATGCTTCAGATTTTAGAGGATGGGAGGTTGACCGATAGCAAAGGGCGAACAGTATCTTTTAAGAGTACCCTCCTGATCATGACCTCCAATGTCGGGAGTAGTGTGATCGAGAAGGGAGGGCGTAGAATTGGTTTTGATCTCGACTATGATGAGAAGGACAGCAGCTACAACCGAATCAAGAGCCTTGTCACGGAAGAGTTGAAGCAGTACTTCCGGCCAGAATTCCTGAACAGGCTAGACGAAATGATCGTCTTCCGACAGCTTACAAAACTGGAGGTCAAGGAGATTGCTGATATAATGCTCGAGGAGGTATTTGACAGGCTGAAAGGGAAGGATATAAAACTTCAAGTGACGGAGAGATTTAAGGATAGGGTGGTGGAGGAAGGTTACAACCCAAGTTATGGGGCTAGGCCCCTTAGAAGAGCCATAATGAGACTACTGGAGGATAGCTTGGCTGAGAAAATGCTAGCCAGGGAGATTAAGGAGGGAGACTCGGCAATTGTGGATGTCGACTTCGATGGGAACGTTACAGTTCTCAGTGGTGGGACTGGTACGCCGGAATCAACACCTGAAGCCATTCCCATATAGAATCAACAACATCATCTGCATCTCTGTGGTGAAATGCCAAGCTGCAGGTTACTAATCCTTGTAGAAGCAGCAGGTAAAGTGTTGCTGCTCAATTTCTTACACCGTTTGATCTTCATGTTTACGACATCCAGTCCCGTTCCTATGGCAGGGCATTAATAGGAAAAAAAATTTCGACAAAAACCAGATGGCAGGTTGTCTTCAAAAGATTTAAAATAGTTTGGACCAAATTTAATTGTTTTAGCCAAAACTGGCTGTGACACTTTTGTGTGATTCATGTTCTCATACATCTGTATCTGCTGGCCTTTCCTTCCTATTAATGTGTTTTCATTACATGAAGTAATTACTTGGAATCCACCAACTGTGCAACAATGCTTTCCACCCAGTTTCCGATGGTTCTTCATTTATAGCGACTTACTAATCCTCCTCTGCGGAGATGACTCGATAGTGAGTCATCCCAAGAAACGATCTCTGATTCATATACTTTGTGAGTTTAACTTAATGGATATGGGACAGACAAAATGCACGCGTCGTTCATCTACAATGCACTCTGCCTACCTTTCAGCACACCTCTCTAAATAATGCAGTCGTTCATTGTCCTCTGCGGCTTATCCGAGCAGTTCCAACTCCACACATATAACCCCACAAGCAATGATTGGACATCTTAACCCCCCATCGAAATGTTTAGCTGTTCAGAGTCTGAAATCATTCGACATTTGACGCGTCAATTAGCGTCGCAGAGTCAATCTCGTTCAGAACGTTAACCTTTATATGATCTATAAGATACTTAATTTAGAATGAAATAGAAGTTAGAGCATATTACTGTATACTGGAGAGAGAGAGAGAGATTGATTGGTGTGGAGTGGAGTGGTGTGGTGTGGTTTAGAGACGACGGACGCCAACGAGGGATGGAAGGACAAATCAAGAACATGGACATGTGGGGGATGAGAGGGGCGTGCAGTTTCATGGACAAGAAGGGAGGCTCGCATAAGGACATCATCCGACATTTACGACCTTCTGTCGTCTTCCCCAAGCGGAGACCTCTTCCTCTTATGGACAACGCCACACTCCACGCCATGCCGCCTGCCGGCTTGCTCCACCTCGGCCGCCGCTTCGGTTCCCGGCCCCATCGGTCGCTACCGAACCCGGATCGGCCACCGACCCATGTCGGCCGGGCCGCAGCCCGAGTTCCCCCCACCATCCCATCCACCGGTCCCGGGAAACAGCAGAAGCATTGAATGGTGCAAGTAATCCACACCCAGCGAGCCTGTTGCGGTGTCACGGTGAGGTTGCCATCGCTGGCCATGGAGATCATGACTCCCTGCTTTGGCCTCGATGATTCTGATGGATGGAAAGCTCAAACGATGCCGACGCAGAGATGCTTATGGAAGCACGTCGAAGGTTACGCGTCGCAGTCCGTCGGATTGACGTGTGACCTAAACAACGAGTCGATTCTTCTTCAGCGTAGGTTCCTTTCAAGTAGATATCATTTCCTTGCGCACTGCATTCATTCCTCCAGACTCGACTCCCTCTGCTGCATGACACGCAAGGAAGGACGAAAACCCCAACATCCATGGCTCCAATCAAGCATGCATGGATCTCAATCGTAAAGTGCGTTCGCGTTTGTGGATGGGTTGAATGATGTTTTGTCGGCAAACAAAGCAATTAAGTTGACGTTGTTGTCTCCTCGACAAAGCTCATTGACTAGGAATAGTTTTTGTGATGTGATCTGTTCTCGTTTCCAAGTTTCTCTGAAGATTTCATTTGCTTGATGAGACCTCACATGGATTTCGGCAGCTCAAACCGAGCCAAATAGTTGCAGAAGGAAGTCACTGACTTCAGAGCAAAAGGTGGAACTTATTATTCACAGAGGCCAAAGGCAAACTCTACGGCTGTCATATCAGCATCCTATGATGCAAATGACCACCCTCTCCTTCTCTCTCTCTCTCTCTCATCTCCTCTCACATACTGTAACACTGTAAGATTACTGACAGACAATGTTGTAAACATAGTTTTTACTATTTTCCACCTACATCAGCTACCTCTCTCGGAATCTGTGAATCATCCCAATGGTCCAATAGGCCAACAGCAAAGATCCTCCCAAGATCTGCTCTTTATTTTGTGTCGGCTCTCCTTTCTCTCCCCAGCTTCACCTTCTTCTTCTTCTTCAGACGTCTACTTTGCAATCTCCATTGAGGAACGAAGACCCATCAACTCTCTCTCTCACCGAGCAACTGACTACTGGAAGGAAGAAGAGTTGGTGTCCTCTCTTTGGTCGCCCATGGCCTGCATCATGTAACTGCTACCACCCTGGAAAAAGATGGTCTTGACTTGGTAATTGGGGACATGACTTCTGTTCTCATATAATGTGTCAAACCAAACCATATATGAGCTTTCTGATGAAAGGATCATCAAACCTGAGGAAAGGGAGTGGTCCCTTGGCCCTGCAGGAAAAATTGTGCTGACTGTCTCATCACTTCACCATTCTCTAGAGCTATGGGTTGAAGTTGATTGGCTTGCACAGTAGATGATGACATTGGCAGTGGCATGCTTCCCACTGATCTCTGCAGCTTCATCATCTTCTACCAATTACCCATCAACATGAAACCAACATGTTAGACTTGTGTCCAGCAACAGAGCACAGAGATCGATGTGGTCCTTGATTAGCCTACCTCTGGTTGGCTCATGTACTCATCAGAGTCTGCATCAAAGTATAGCATGGGGTTGAGAGAAGCGAGCTTCATCGAGAGAAACTGGAGACAGGTGATCGGATTGGGTTAGGTTATGCCGTGGAAGGAGGAGGCTGTTGTCAACTCATTGTTGACCTTGGCTTACCTCGACCTGGTTCTGTAAGGACTGCACATAATTGATGATCTCATCCAGCATGAGTGCCTTCCCAGTAACCTACTCGGTAATGATGATAGAACAGAGGTTAAAGAAAGCATATGAGGAGAAGAAGATTCAACATCCGCACCTTCTCGCAGCCGGGAACGAGACTCTGCAACACCTTCATCCTCTCGCTTATCTTCTCTCGTCTCACCTGAAAGCCAAGCACCATGAACGAAGCCATTACCATTGCAAGAACGATATCCAAATTGGCGAGAGGATGATGTTGAAGAGACCCTGTGAACGTACCCTTTCTGCGAGACTGTGGCTATCTGTGGCTTCACCTCTCCTTGCTCTTACATGAATATACCCCGCGGGAGACTCCCCGCAAGTCTTCGAAGCTTTCGTGTCGTCGGCTTTAGGTTTCTTGTCGTCGGTTTCCCTCAGCCTTCTCTGCTTGCAAATCTTGCCTTCCTAATTCGCACGACAACACAAAAGAAAACCACAGCTCAGCTCGCCATCAATGAAAACCCACAGCACAGCAGATGATTCCTGATGCTATTATTACCTTGGCTCGACCGGCGATCAAGCTGGTCTCATCTTTGTCGATCTTTCTCTTCTTTTCTCCAGATCCTTGTGGCTGCGGGGCCACGCCGTCACTGGGTTCGCCCACCATTGGTGCGTGACCAACGTGGTTAGCAACCGAAGGAGGCTTTAAACCGGCAATGTCAAGAGAACCGCTGCTACCGAAGCCAGTGGCATCGGCTACCGGCAGCTGCGAGTAGCAGTGGAGGAAGCAAGAGGAAGCACTGGTCGTCACGTCTTCCAATTGCTGTGGGAGGAAGGGAATCTCGGTGGGCGTGCATGGAAGATGCGCAAACTCCACAAAGGAAGGGTTATTATGCTCATGGTATGAGAATGCCATTGTGTAGAGCTGAGGAATAATGCCGACGTACGGGAGAGAAGAAGAAGAAGAAGAAAGGAAATAGATCAGAGGTCAGTGGCAGCGGTGAAGCAAGGTGGGTTTCCGTGAGAGGAAGAGGAGAGCATCCACAGATGTGAGCAATTGAGTCCTTATAAAGCCAATGGGTAGAGTGGGTGGGAGAGGATGGCCATTAATAGCACCTACAGTGACTTGGCTTGACTGGTTTGATCTTTATTGACTGAGAACAATTTTGGATTCATTTTTCCTTCGGCACTGAAACCTCAGATGCCTGTAATTTAATTGAATGCAAAGGGGGCTCAGTTACCAACCCATATGAGCAAAGGAGATATGGAGTTGGGTGACTGTGGAATTGCAGTCCATTGCTAGTCCTGTAGATGAAAGACAAATTGGAGTATCAGTCATCTCTGAAAAGATGTAATACTAATTCCTCAAAAACTTCCTTTTCGAAGCTTTAACCATTTATAATCATTTAGTAACATCTAATTTCTCGAATACAAATCATTAATCATGATGCCCACAATCACAGCCAAAAACTTTGACTATATGTATCAAGGTCTGTCATACCGAAGCGTACCACCCGTATCGGACGGTACATATTGGTCCGACAAATTATCGATATGTGAATCGTCCGGTATCGTTACAGTACTCTACTATAACACTGCTACAGTGCTACAATATTATACTGTAGCAATGCTACAATATGAAAAACATATAAAATTGCTCGATATACCAGGGTGTACTGCTCGGTACGCCTTGATGTACCGCTCGATACATCGGTACCGTACCATATCGAGCCCAGATCGAAACGTCGGTACGGTACGATACAACGAACCTTGATATGTATACAGATTTCTCACCTGACAATTGTGTATTCAATGAATAATAATAGCATAGAGAAGGCAAATTCCTTGATCCATACAGTACTATTTCTCAAACATAATTCGGGTCGAAATATATATGTTTGAATTCCACCAATTTTTTATTAGAGTACATTGAAAATAATCTGTAGCTTAGATTACTAGACTATTACATCAAAAAATTGAGATGATATTGACCACATCATAAGAAAAACAACACACTCAACTTACTAAACCTGTACATGGATCATATTAGAGACTCAAACAAGCAATTTCAGCTGGACAAATAAACTCAACTTCCGGAAAACAACCCAAGAAGTAGACCCACTTTAAAGAAAATTGGACAAGGCACAAGGTTGATGCGACCCAAGATGTCGCCGGTGGCATGATTTCCAGTGGATCAACAACTGAGTCTTCTTCTACTACAGTGTCTTCTTGTCCTGCTCCACATGCTTGGGAGGTTCTGCAGGGAAGTACTTGATGCCCACAAGGTCTCCAACTTTGCTGATAACCTGGAGTTGCATAACGACGATATGAATATAACAGAGGCAACTATTTATTCAAGAAATTTGATCATTCGAAGGAAGATTGTGTATGATATTTGCTTACATCCAGCCCTTTCATCAGGTCTTCTCTGGTGTGTGAAGCAGATATGCAGATTCGAGCTCTTGCAAGAAGAAGAGGTGTTGCAGGGAATGCAACGGTCACAACTGCAACCTACAATGTTGTCGGAATAATTGTTATCCACCAGTTGAAAGGAAAAAAGGGGCAATTTATAACTAATGCCATGAAAAAGAGCAAGAAAATTTGAACATAGAATACTACGGCGAAGAGAACCTGAAGCTGAATGTGCATACACATCAAAGTGCCATCTCATTAACGAGAAAAGGTATTAAACATACAGGTGCTTAAAGGCTAATTCCCTCTAGTAAATGATATTAAAGTTGCAACTGTTGCATGCAAAACCACCTTAATGCCCATATGGGCATCTAATTGTGCATTCAACTGATATTTCTACCTGAAGAACTAACTCCATGTGTCAACATATCCTTGATGAAAACATAGCTTTAAAGTATTGGGAACGACACAAGCACAAGCACAACATATATATACAACTCATCGAAGAAAAAAATCACATACTGAAGTTTGAGTATACCACTATCAATCATGATTAAACCATCAAGAAATCGCATGACACTTACATTCCGTCTAAGGCATTCCCTTGAAAATGCTGGGATCTTAGCTGGGTTGTAAAGCATTATTGGCATTACTGGAGAATCATTATCACCAAGAACCTCAAATCCCATTTTCTGAAGTTCTGACCTGAAGAAGTTGCTATTTTGACGGATGCTTGCAAGTTTCTGAGCTCCTGGTATGGTCGTACAAACCGCATGTAAGAATTTTTTATGCTTCAATAAATGTAAAAAAAGATGCCTGTAACAAAATAATATATATATATATATATATATATATATATATTCATCACATGTGATAAAATTAAGTACCTCTATTTGAACCATCTTCACCAAGGATAACCTTAATTGCAGATATAACTTGCTGCACAGCAGGTGGTGACATGGAAGTAGCATACAGATGAGCAGGACAAGTGTGCTTCAGATACTGAATGATTTCCTGCATAAGACATAAGGATTTAGGAACTACATTATAATCTGGCCCGACTCCATCTGTGATTCTGTGAAATTTGGTCCAACAAGAAGATTACCTTTGATGCTGCAATGTAGCCCCCACAAGATCCAAATGATTTTGTAAATGTTCCCATCATGATGTCCACGTCAGCTGTATCGACTCCTAGGAGTTCACACACACCTCTGCCTGATTTTCCAACAGCACCAATGCTGTGAGCCTCATCCAAGTAGGTGTATGCCTGTTTCCATACAAAAGTTTGTTCAGCGTTGTTTAATTTGTTTTTTGATCTCTTAACCATTAGTTTAGTCTTTCTAATGCTTAAGCAAAGAAATCCGCTTCTTGTATCTGTTTCTCTCGAGATGCATATGAATTAAAGACCAGAAACTAACATTAGCATGTAACACATCAAACCTTATATTTTTTGCAGACTGCTATGATTTCAGGAAGATTGCAGAGTTCTCCTTCCATGCTATAGATGCCCTCAACAATAACAATTATCTTTTTCCAGGGTCTATGCGTCCGCGGCTGACCCTCAGCTATCTGCTCTCTCAGCACCTCTTCCAAATGTGAGGGGCCTAGACAACATTTAAAAGTAAGTTAAGAGCAAGGAAAAATGAGGTAATATAACATTTGACCATTTTAAACTTACTATTGTGCTGGAAAACGCGTACTGATGCACCAGATCCTCGGGCACCATTGACAATAGAGTTATGGTTCAAAGAATCACTAATGATCAGTCCCCCCTGAGAATGGCCATGATTGGTGTTAGTGGGATAGCAAAATCTATATGAATCTCATCACTGCAAGTCCAGTGCTTTTAACCATCTGGTTACTCAAGGAATTAGACATACCTTCCCTACCAGAGCGGGAATAATTGCAGAGTTTGTCACATAACCCATACCAAAAAGTATAGCAGCTGGTTTTCCCACAAATCTTGCAACTAGTTCCTCCAGCTCGGTGTGAAGGTTTGTCGTCCCTGGTATCAAACAAAGCATAATAAAATTAATCCAAACTTTTAAATATTTGTTTTTCTAATTGACATAACCTGCAGAATATTCTTACCGCCATCGACACGAACGCTGCAGGTACTGGCTGAGTATTTCTTCAGAGACTCGATAACAAGGGGTGTACAGTATTCATCTGCTGCTGCAAATCCAAGGTAGTTGTATGATCCCAGATTTAGGCACTTGGTAGTATTTGAGGTCCGGCTGCATCAGGTAACAAAAATAATCAAATCTTAACACATTTCTATTTCAATTACAAAAAAGCTTTTCAAATGCTTGCTAATAGAAGCAAATTGTAAGTCTGCTCATCTATGTTATTTTCAGAAAAGGATTTGTAGTTCCCATATCCTTAGAAGAGAGACTAAATGCTGTATGTTTCAGATAAGATGCATGGTCCACCTCTGCTTTCTATATAACAATAGCTTGCATGTCTCTGACAGATCAAAAACCTATTAAAATACTTACTGTAGCGTCTTGTTATGGTCATTAGAGTAACGCTCAACTACATCGATCCAAGCATCTGGTGCACTCGCAATTGGTCGGCTAAAACAATCCTGCCAAATTAGAATGGTATCAACAAATTGTTCAAAGACTAGCAGCTTACCAACAAAAACCTTAGTAGGACATGCTGATTAAATGATGTGCATGAACAACTCATTTGCAGCAGATCAACCTTGTTTTGAGGTGGCTAATAAAGGAGACTGGATATCCTAGTTTGCTTATATCGTCAGGCTTAAAAGCCTCGACGGAGTAGATCAGGAACAACACTCATAGAAAAAGAAACAATGACTCGATGCAAGATAATTCTTACACTTGGATCCTTCAAAACATGTAATGAGCTTGGTTGATGGACACGAGGTTAATTTAAAATACTGGATGTCATATTTGAAATGAAGCACCATGTCTTGCTAGTTTGCTTTCGTAGCTACTTATAATGAAAGTCAAAATAAGTAAAAGTTGGAACATAGATACAGATAAGCTGTTCTGGTCATGTTAAGTTGGTGCCAAAACTCTAAAGCAAGTGTTGTTAGACAAGATAGGCTTTATTTAGTCAACTACTTAGACTTATCTCCTTCACAAACCATGCGGCTAGGTTACAACAAGATCCTATCATCTTCAATATAGTTCGAAATACAATCAAGCTTTCTCAGGTGTTTTCTTTACGTTCTTAAATATTTATGCTAAAGTTATCAAATTTTAGCGGTGAAACAAAAATTACTATTTGTTTCCGTCATTAATTTCATCATGGAATGCAGTTTACTGCTACAACGTGCAAATGAAACCCTAGCGCTTTCAGCAGTTCTTAAATTCGTTTTCCCTCAGCAAGTTTTATATTATCAGGAAATCAAGTGAGCATGGAAATGTTTGTCAGAATATCCAATGTAACATTTAACCCTAGAACGTCCCAAATCGAAGTTTTGAAGAGGAAAGAACGCTCAGGAATTGAAAAGAGAAACCGAAAGGACAAACCTGAATCCGGAGATAGAGCCGGCGGGTGTAGAAATCTTCGAGCCCTAAGCAGATGGGCGCATACCCCTGTCACAAAAATAAAACGAACCGGATTCCCAATTACAACGAAAAAAACCCAACGTAAGATCAAAATCAAAAAAGGGCAAGACCGCAGCAATAGGCTGCGAAACAAGGGGGTTGTGGATCAAAGAACAGACCTTGAGGTCCTTGCCCTTGGATTTGGACCAATCGATGAGCTTCCGAAAGAAATCTCTCATCTGGCCGAACGCGAAGAGGAGGCCGTAACTGAAGAGGGTGGTGAGCGCGGTCAGGTACGGTAGTCTCACCATCCTTCCAACGCCGGTGTTCGGCTCCCAAATCCGGCAGTGACTTCACAAGAGAGCGCGAACTAGAGATTCGATGGTGCGACGAAGGCGATGCGGGGATGTGGAGCGCGAGGCGGTGCGGTTTATATGGAGCGTACGGTCATCAATGGCGTCGTGGATTTTAGAGAGAGAGGGAGAAAGCGCGCGTTGAAACGTAGGGTGGACGGTAAGAAGAGAGAAAGAGAGAGAGAGAGAGAGAGAGAGAGAACGGTGTTGTTGACAGGTGAAGCGGGAGAATACTCTTCAAACCTACCACAACAATTGACCGTCTTTCTTTTGTTCTCGTCTGGCTGCAGTAAACTTTCAGCTCATAGGAGTTGACCCAACGGTGTCGAACTCGAGTAAGTCAACGCTACGAAGCAGGTCAGTGGTTCCATCAGTCAAATCCATTGCTGCATCCCATCTAACCTATTCAATACGCCCGACTTGGTCAAAGCCGGCACGTAAACCAGCGAAGCCGCCTTCCAAGATCCAATCCTGCACGAACCGGTCTCGGTCAACCATGTCATTTGGTCAATCGTCTCTCTCGATGACTGCAGGATCCTTTCCGATCATTAATTTTGTATTAAACGATAATTCTCGGTTGAATTAAGAAACCAAACATCATTTGGACGTGAAGCAGTAATTAATCAGTTGAGTTGCAATCTACCGAAGCATTAGGATGGAAAGGTTGACTTTTGAACCGGCCGTCTTAAAGACAGGGAACACTTGGTTGACTCTTGCAACCACTGAGGCTTCACGTCGACCCTAAGGACAGAGGTGGGTGCTTGGACGGAGGAACTTTCTAGAAATCGGAAGTGGTTTTGTTTTGCTGATGTGTTCTTTCTATGAGTTGAGTGATGATTGTTGCTGCGTTCGATTATATATTTATATTGTTAATATGTAGTTGGGAGAAAATATCGATTATTTATTTTAAGTGTTTGATAAACACTAAATGAAAATTATATTGTAATAAATATAATAGGTGTTGTTTGATAAAATTATATTTTGAATATATTAAATATTTTTTTGTGATAAATTTATTCTTTTAATATGTTTATTATTTATTCTAAAAATAAATATTTTTTTATTTAAATTAATAAGTATATATAATCTTATAATAAATAAAATATAAAATATAAAATATAAATCATATTGTTTTTTTATAAATCATATTGTTTTTTTTATAAAATCATTTTGATAATATTACAATTTTAAATAAAATCATAAAAAAATTTAAAAAAATTTAAAAAAATATATATTATCATCCTATAAATATTGACATTAGCAACTGAATATTTTCAATCCACCATTCAGGCTTGATGTGATTTGAAGACAAATTCTCAAATATCGATTCATATTTGAAACACAAATTGAGGGTCAAATGCACTTTGTATAATTAAACTAATTGTAGAATCATATTCGATGAAAGTTCCTCTAATACTTGAAGCGAAAATGTGTTCTGACTATAATAATACATAATTTTTTTGTATTAGAAAATATTTTCATCGATTCGAGATCCATATGACATCAGACAATCGATGTAAATATTTTTATTTACATCAAATATTTAACTTAATTTTAAAGTAAATATTTTTATTTACATCAAATATTTAACTTAATTTTAAAGATAGATAATCATCTAATAATTCAGTCCCAACTGTCTTTGGAGAACCACAATTTATAGTTTTTTTGCACAGATTATATATATATATATATATATATATATAATACTAAATCATGACATACACTTCCAATGGTTATGTGTGTCATGTGTTTATGCCTTTCTAACATAATGAAGCTTATTATTTTGCTCATCACAGATGCAATATATTTTAAGATTATTAAAATAGTAGATAGTAATTTTTTAATAAATTGATTTTAAAAATGAGTTTTTCTAAAAGAACTCTAATGCATATATTTTTATTATACAAAATACTTCATGTACAATATAGATGCAGCAACAATGATAAGAACTATAGAGAGAAACAAAACATAGAATATGGCAAAATTATTATTATTATTTGGAATTTGGGACATTGGTTGAAGATTTTTGATGACTTTCTTGCACAGGAATATGAAAAGCTCTCCTTCAATACCTTGGAAGTTATGAAAGACAGGATTTAGAGACTCCCAGAGGTCATAAAGTCCCTTTTGACTTCAATCACATCAGCAAAAGAAAAATCTCCAAAAGCTAAAGCCTGCAACTCACTGCTCCTCTGCATTGCATTGCACTGCACTAAAAGATAAGACCAAGATGAACAGAGATGGGATTCCCAAACTCTTCCATGTCAGTGGAAGCAATAGTTCATCAGACTCAATGTTTTGGTAGTGCAAATGATATCACATTCTCCTTCACTTGTTTCTTGCTCTTAGCAATTGTAGCAAATGGTGTTTTCAGTGCTGCAATGCAATGCAATGCCTTTCACACTCACTCTCCATCATCTTTTAATTGAACATCTAATCATACTTTTCATGCATAGAATGTAATAATATTTCTAGAGTGGGTTCTCTTTTTTTTTTTTCTGAAAAGTGTCCATTTTCAATTTTTTTAATAACATTCTTTTTTTATATATATAATACCTAAAATACCCTCAATCATCTATTTGTTTTCTCTCACTTTTATTATGGATAAGTTGAACTTGTCTAGTTATAATTTTTAGTATTAAAAATATTATAATTTAATATAAAAAATATTGTAATTAAATCAATTTATCATATAGATCGATCTATATAAAAAAAAGGATAAGTATCTGACTGTTAGATCAAAATATTTCAGATATTAAATAAAAAATATTATTATTAATTTTTTTAAAAAATGAGAATACTTTCCAAAAATCCGAAAATTCCCCCTATTTTCTATGGAGTACACGTCTTATCAGCCCAAACCACAACCAGAAATGCTATCACGGCACGACCCAATCACCGCCCATGCCACTAGTTGGCCCCACCACTACCACACGGTGGGTGTGACCGTGGGTACGCTCGCACACGTTGCGGCTGCCGACGAGACGGCACCGGTGGCAGACCCACCCATACGCTCACTCCTCCTCGCCAAACGACAAGGCCGGTGGCCCCACCAACTCGTCCGCTTCCCACCAGCAATCAGCACCCGTCCATCAGGCGCCCTGCGCGTCACATCACGCACCGTCGACGTCTGACACGTGACCGTTGGGTCAATTAGTGGGGAATTATTGCCAGGACAGCAGGGATCGTAGAGAGGGATGGCGTGCATCTCCACCGTCCGATCTCTCGTTATCACCAGGTACAACGGATCACTGCCGTCCATTCTGCTGCACCCCCTCCGAAATATTCGCTCCTCAAAATAATAGAAACCCATTTAAATAATTATTTTTCGCTGACACGCCTAATCATTAAAATTAAAAAAACCATAATATAGTAATTTTTGTATTTTAAATTTCATTAATCTTTTTCCTTTCTCTCCTTATCCGCTAGCGGTGGGTGAAGGACCGGAGACCGAGATCGAACGGTTTGTACTTGTCCACGGAATCTGACAAAACATATTGACCGTCGGATTCTCAACTCCGGTTAATGGAGCGTGCAAAGCGAGAAAAAATGAGACGAAAAGAGAAGAGAAGCGGAAGTTGTCCTCTTCCTTTGCATCATTCTTTAGATCTCTGTCTAGGTTTTATCCTTTACGTAGTAGTTTAGACTTGTTGCTGGGTGTTTTTCCATGTGTTGTTCTTTCATGATTCGTTAGATTTTCTCTTCTTTTGGGGTTTTTCCATGTGATTTGAGTGAGTTTTCCCCCCAAATCTTCTCCTTGTTTCTATCCGATGTGATTTGAGTGAGAAAAATAAAGAGTGTTTTTTGCTTGATTTAGCGCCCTCTAAACTTATCTTCTATGTGTTTGTTCAAGAAAGGACTGTCCTTTCTGTCATTTTTGGGTAGATCCGAGCTTGCTTCCAAGTTAAATTGTGGTCAAGGGGATCGGCAGTGAAAAGGTGGAAGCTTTGTTGCTTCGTTTATAGTGTTTCCGCTAGTTATGGTAGTGTTTATCTCCAAATCTCTTCGGTTTCTTGTTCTTCCGTAATGGGGAAGGTGAAGTGAGGAAGGATTGCGTTAGTTGAAGTCTTCAGCCATGACTTACTTCCCGGAGGAGGTGGTGGAGCACATATTCGACTTCGTCGGGTCACACCGCGACCGGAACACGGTGTCGACGGTGTGCAAGGCGTGGTATCAGGTGGAGCGGCTCAGCCGCCGGACTGTGTTTGTTGGCAACTGCTATGCCATCGGACCCGAGCGAGTGATGGCGAGGTTCCCCGGGATAAATTCGCTGAGCGTCAAGGGGAAGCCCCATTTCGCTGACTTCAACTTGGTTCCCTACGATTGGGGCGGCTTCGCGCTCCCCTGGATTGTAGCCGCGGCGCGTCTCTGTCCTGGTCTGGAGGAGCTGCGGCTGAAGAGAATGGTGGTCACCGATGATGGCCTTGAGCTCCTTGCGCGCTCCTTTCCCAACTTCAAGTCACTTGTTCTCATTAGCTGTGAAGGATTTAGTACGGATGGGCTTGCTGCGATTGCCACATATTGCAGGTGAGCTGCCTATCTGTGTTTGACTTCGTTTCATTCGAATGTCTACCTTAACAAGCATATCTCGAAAGTGTACTCTCTGCTGGAATTGTTCTTCGGGATTGTATGTTATCAGCTGCTGTAGTTCAAGGTTGAATCTTTACTATGTTTTGCAGATGCATCTCCATCTATACTAAGGTTTATAAGCCCGTTGCTGTGTTTTGGTTGAGTTGAATTTGAAGGATTCATTTTCTCAAGCAGCGGCATTTTTGCTGAGCTTTTCTATATTGTGCAGCTAAGCTTTCATCTTTGCTTCATGCAGAAATTTATCTGGATTATCCGTTGCTGTTTAGGCATTTAAATTGATTATTAGTTGCTTTCTTTGCTCTCTTGAATCCAAATCGGCTGCATTTGTGAGCCTTAGATGTGTTAATGCATATACAAGTAATCACCTGCCAACGTGTTAGGCTTAAATTCTTGTGACTGTGAAGTAAATTTAGCCTTTCCATTTGATTAAAGTGCATCCTAAAAGGTGGTAACATTTTCTTTTGTTTTTTGCTTTGTTGCTGCTTATCAGAGGTCTGAGGGAGTTGGATTTACAGGAAAATGAGGTGGAAGACCATGGGTGCCAATGGCTCAGCTTCTTCCCTGATTCCTGTACTTCTCTGGTCTCCCTAAACTTTGGTTGCCTTAAAGGGGAGGTCAATGGAGGTGCTCTGGAGAGGCTAGTTGCTAGGTGCCCAAATCTCAGGAGCTTGAAGCTTAGCCCTGCAGTATCTGTGGAGTCACTAAACAAGATCCTTGCTCGGGCATCTCACTTGGTCGACCTTGGAACTGGATCTTTTGCAGTTGACCACCGAACCGATGTTTATCACACGCTCATGAATTCCTTCCCCAAATTCAAGTCATTGAGGAACTTGTCAGGGTTCTGGGATGCTTCTCCTTGCTGCCTTAGAGCAGTCTATCCTGTCTGCACAAGCTTGACTGTTCTTAACTTGAGCTACGCTCCTGCAATTCAGGGTGATGACCTTATCAAGATAATTTGCCTTTGTTTTAAGCTTCAAAAGCTCTGGGTGAGATTTTGTCAATTCATTTTTGAGATGATAGAAATTTCTCTCTGAAACATATGCTAACTATAGGTCGATCATTTCACAGGTGTTGGATAGCATAGGGGATAAAGGATTAGCCGTTGTGGCCTCCACTTGTAAAGAGTTGCAAGAGTTGCGGGTATTTCCGTGCGACATCTATGGTGCTGGAACTACTTCTGTGACTGAAGAAGGTTTGCTTGCTGTATCTTCAGGATGTCCTAAACTTAACTCATTGCTTTACTTTTGCTACCAAATGACAAATGCTGCACTAATAACCGTCGCAAAAAATTGCCCACATTTCACACGATTCAGATTATGCATCCTTGATCCTGGAAAGCCAGACCCTGTCACTAATCAGCCACTTGATGAAGGTTTTGGTGCAATCGTGCGTTCATGTAAAAACATCAGAAGGTTGTCGTTGTCAGGTCGTTTAACAGATCAGGTTTTCTTGTACATTGGCATGTACGCAGAACGTCTCGAGATGCTGTCAATTGCATTTGCTGGTGATAGTGATAAGGGGATGATTTACGTGCTCAATGGATGCAAAAATCTCAGGAAACTTGAAATAAGGGATTGCCCGTTTGGCGATATTGCGCTCTTGAAAAATGTGGCAAAATATGAAACAATGCGATCCCTTTGGATGTCGTCCTGCGACGTCACCCTGGGAGGTTGCAAGGCTCTTGCGGCAAAGATGCCAAGGCTGAACGTGGAGATCATAAATGAAAATGAAGAAACCTATGAGTTTGAAGAAAATCTTAGTGATCGCCACAAGTTGGAGAAGATTTATGTTTATCGAACTGTTGCTGGGCCGAGAAATGATGCACCAGATTTTGTTTGGACATTGTAGTATCAGACACAACAGCCCTATATTTGTAAGTCCATCTGATGTTTTGTTTGTTTTAACATTGAGAAAGTGTTACTTGTCAATACTCTGTTTAGCTTGGTTGGCTTTGTAGATTGAAGCCCGAGTTTGTGGATTTGCTCTTATGTAATCTTTGTAGCTGTTTTCTCTCTTTAATGGTAGATGAAAAAGATTAACAGTCATCGGCATTTCGGTTTTTTCTTCTTTGATTTGCTTTCACTTTGTAGTTTTATATCTTTTGTGTCGAAAGTATGAAGCATGTATAACTTCTTGTACAGTTTCAGAATATGGATTTCATTTCCTTGGATCTATTGTCTTGCCTGTTGATATCCATTTAACTCGAATGAAGGAAATGAGATTACCTTCTTTCGAAATTGTCTATAACTTCACTCTCTATGTTCTTGTGACACCCACCATGGCAATCAACACATGCAGCCTCAAATATGGATTGCTTTTCTCTTAGTATTGTCACACATCATCTTTGGTGTGTGTAGAAGAAAGCTCCAATTTTTGCCTTCTCTTGCAGCACCTGCCATTGAACTCATGATTCCATCCACTGCTTACCTGCACTGTGGCTCTTAGAGGATGACAAGCTTTTCTTACCATCTAGCAGTTGGCCTTTGGTCTCTCCTCATCAGAAACTGATGGAGTGCTTTCCATGTGCTTATCTCTGCTCCTCCACTGTGGTGAATGAATGGAGTTGTGCCTGGCATGGTTGCAGGACATTGCAGTCTTACAAGTCTCTTTGTTATGCTCTTCATTTGGATTGGAGATGCGATCTTTCCTCACCACACTTAATTACCAGGCATGTATTTTTCTCAGACAATTAAGACAGGGATGGAGCAACAGAACCAGCCATGCTATCTTTGCCTCACCACACGTAATTAGCTACGCTTGTCTCTGCTGCTGATGCAGTTCTTCACCTCAAATCGATGCAGAAGTGAAGGATGAGAAAGCCAGGAAAATCTACATGTTGTTTGATCCGATGAACCAGTGTTCTAAGTTTCCCACATCACAGCGCTGCTGATGGGATGGGCAATGCCAAAGGAACAAGATTAGAGGCTCGACGGAAGTGGCAGAGTACATGGAAGCTTTTGGGTCTGTCGAACGGTACTCGCTCGGTGAAGTTTCCCTCGATGTCATTGTTCGCATTGCGTTGACTCGTCAATTCCTACTGTAGTTACGTCCCACTCGGTCGTCCCCGCGGCTGACTAGGCTCTCGAACCGGGTTTAAAATGGGTCCGGTTAACCGGACTCGAGAACGAGTCGGGTTTATAATAATACGTGGCGTGTTGGGTTTCCACGGTTCACTATATAGGTGCGTGTTGGGTTCGGCCCATGACCTTAAGTCGAAGCGGCCTGAGCCGGGTTCTACACCAAGTGGGATGGGCGAGCGTCGGCTCTACGGACGAGTAGAAAGGGGTGATTAGGGTCGTCGAAGCCACCGAAACGGCAGTCGTGAACGCCGAGGCGATCGTCTCCTCCGCTCCCGTCGTCGTATTCAGGTGCGATTCCCACTCTCCTTCTTTCGGCTCTTCCCTTATCTCGATCGATTTCTTCTTTTCGTCGTTCGAACACGGTGGCCCAATCTTTTTGCCTGTTTCGAGCATCGGTTGGGGTTTCATCGACGGAACGGTGTGAAGACGAGGTTTACGGGTCTTGAACTGGGCTGTGAACGAGAGAGGAGTCGGGAGATGTTGAGAAGGGCGAGAGTTGAGTGCTGAATTGAGTAAATTGGGAACGCGTATCGTTATATGGATGGAAGGAGAATGGATTTAACCCTAGATCGACGTTGCTCTCTCTCCTTTGTCTCTGCGTGCAAAGGCAGCCGACGGTTCGCCTGTCCCCCTCCTGACGGCGCGTTTGCACCTCCCCCTTCCCTTCCTCTTCTTCCCTCCCGCTGTTGCGCTCCCTCTTTCACCTCCTCCTCCTGGCCGCCCCCAGCTGAGCCTCCCTGACAGCCCCCTACCCTCCTCCTCCTCTGTGCTTCTACCCCCTCCCTCCTCTTTTCCCCTCCTCGCGCCCCTCTCCCTCTTTCTCCACCTCCTTCCCCGCCCCTTGCCGAGCCACCTCGACAGCTCCCTTCTTCCCAGCAGAGCCGTCGCCCCTCGCCGAGCCTCCACAACTCCTCTCTCTCTGCCTCTTTCACCGACGATCTTGCTTCTCCTGGCAGGTTCCCCTTCTCCTCTTCTATCTCGCCCGGACAGGCCCCATCCGGCAAACTTTGAATTTAATATCAGTTTTAATTATCATTAATAATGGTTAATTTTTGTTCATACTAGTTTATAAACTGTTTAAAAGACTAAAATTGTCACTGTCAATGGTATTTTTTTCAATTTCCACTGCTTTATAGATGATTAAATGAATGTATTTTGATATCTTAATAGTAAAATCTTGAATATACGATGACATGAAACTCATGTATTAACTAAATTTTATTTTAATAATTGTCTTTCTTCTTAATTATATGTTTATAATTTTATATCGATGAATGTCTTACTTTGCTTGGGCAAACTCCTGGCACCTCAGGCATTTTGGAACCTTATCATTGCATTTGTGAACACTGCATAACACTAAATGCCAAATTTAGCTATGTAGAGATTAAATTTGATCTTTGTTGTTGGATCAATTGTTAAACCCCAGTGATCAAACAATGTATTCATCATTTAATGGGCTTTTCCTTCTGTATAGTTGTTTACTTGATGTAATATTAAATGCCTAGCATAATTAATGGTATGAACAATGACTTCATACAAACACTTTTGATATCCTAGTCAATAACCCTTTAGCAAGTTAAGTTTGACATCATGAATATTGTTGTTTCCTGCACTTTTTTTAAGATCAAAAGAATTATTCTATAGTAAATGTCTTATAGGTTGTGAATCATGAGAAATTTAGTTTGTGATGGAAGCTAATTTGATTCTTTTTTTATAAGACTATGGAGAAATCTTACTTTGTTCCCCATGTTTCTCTTAAAAGTTGCAAATGGATTCTACATTCCAGTCTTAGATATTAGTTCTATAGCTTGACGTCATCAGTGGCCAATTTTACACCTTTGAGTTGCTGAAGACAAGACAAAATATTGTGTCATGTGAAGCTAACTCATATCAAGCTTGAAAAGTTGTGATGGACAACCATGATTGTCATTCGTAATAAGGACTGTAAAATTGTTTGATCCTTTGGCCCTAATCAGGCCTAGTGCATTGGACTGGTCCTTGAAACGGAAATATAGTGAGCTCGGGCCGACTTGTGAGTCCACTCAATAAAATCAATATATTTCCATTTCAAGGACCATCTCAACTTGCCAGGCCCAATGTGGGCCATAGGATTATGTGATCTTATGAGAGGTCACGAGTTGGACAATCGTGGTTTCGACAATGAGCATTGCTTATATAACACCTCTTATTTGCAAAAAACGGTTATTGTGTGCCTTTTTCCAGTCATGAAAGAAGCATTCGGTCAAGGTCACAGCTCAAGAATCAGCATATCTCCAAAACAAAGCTAATAAATAGAATGTTCTTTGATTATTACAATAGAAATCTCATCACCAATACCAATATACAAACACTCTTGGGTATCATTCTCGAGTAGAGAGACCAATTGAATCCTTGTAAACCTGAAAAAAAAAGACAAAAGCAATAAAATAATTATTAATTCAAATAAGAGATATTATTATTAAACTATGCAATCACTTTATTAAAAATGCAATTATTAATTTAACAATATTTGAGAGTTACTAAATAATAACAAAAAATATTCATAAATTTCTATAAGTATATATATTATCTTAAATTTATTATTTTCTAAATTGTAGGATCTTACAATTTGATCCTACAATCCAAGTTTGTTGACCCCCTTTACAATCCTATGTAGGAAAGTTTGACAACCTTGCTTCTCATGAATCTAGCATATGAATCCATGATGTTAGCTGTGACGACTCTGATGTGCTTTTTTATATTTATATATTTTTGGCTGGCTGAAAATTTTAAATGCTCTATTATGCATTCAATGCTAACTTTTTTATTTGAATTCTCTGCTTTGCTTATATCTAATACAATATTGTACTACAGCCTGAATGCCTGATATGGATCTGGAGACTGAGAATCGGCTTGCTGCTTTACTGATGGAAGAGGCCAGGAGATTGCGCTTGGAAGCTGAAAAAGAAGGCGTTCATGTTTATCTCCACCAGCGTAATGTTAGAGGTCGACCAAATTCACGATTTTTGACAGCTACTGTTCTTGGAGTGCAGCAAGGTTTGTTGCATAGCTTCTTTCTATTTGGATTTTCATTTTCAATATTGGGTGACCACATTTGGTGTATGGCTTCGGTTTATTGCAAAACTTGTCCAAGTTAAACATAATCAGTAATAACTGAATGGATTCTTTATAATAATCTTATCTTTGGGGAAGGAAAGAGTTGTCATATTCATGGCTGCCTTTTCATGGCCCAAGGCTAGTAAATTTTATTAAAAATGAACAGACTCTTGTTAAGTATATAAAACCATTTATCACAGTATTTTAAAGAAAAGGAAAAATAGAATTAGTAAAGGATCTGGAAAATTTCAAAATATAAGTTTTAATTGGAATAATTTACATCAATTAAAACATTCAAATCTTCTTTTGCTTGAGCTAATTGAATATTTAATTACTTGATAAATTATATTAGCTGTCAAAGTCTACATTAAAGTAGCTAATTAGATGGATAGGCTCTATATCTTTCAAACAGAAAGAGACATGTTCCTTTGATATAATGGATCATCTCCTGGTGCATTTTACTTGGCTTATTAAACTGAAAGATATTTGGAATTTGACTGATTGCCTAGATTGTGATTCTTGAATCAGTCTGTCGCCACTGTAGTTTTGTAGTAGTTATCTCAGAACAAATCTGTCAAACATTAAGAACTTATACTTCATTTGGAACTCCACCCTCTTCCTTGAGAAGAATAAAAAAGGATTGGATTCTATATAATATTTCAAATGACAGGCTGGTTAGTAAATAGAAAACCAAGTTTAGCAACATGTAGCATACATTTATTAATAGTTCTTGATTCCGTGTTGTTTTTGTTAAATAGAGAATACATGTTGGTTGTTTTTATATGCCTTTTGATGTTGTTTTGTTTTTGATGTTCTTATTCTTAATGATGGAAGTTTCAGAAAATAATTAGGGGCAATTAATCTTGCAATTTGCATAGGCATGTATCTTTTGTGAGGCACAAATTGGCAGCTAGTGTGTATTGTATGTGTCTACGTATTCATGCGGGAAGGCCTTGTTGTCACTTCAAGGTTGATTCTTTACGACTTAGGCAACCAAGGTTCGACCATGAAAATAGTCTTTTTGTTTGCAAGAGTAAGGCGGCGTACATTGACCCTCAGACCTTGCTGATGTGAGCCTCGTGCATTGTGATATTCTTTTATACATGAAAGTTCATGTATGTGCTAGCATGTGGGTGTGTGGATATGCATGCATGGTTGTTGTGTCTGCCAGTGATTAAAATAGGCGCTCGGGTGCTCACTTAAGCGCTCGAGCGAGGTGAGACGAGGCTCGAGCACCTCGTGGGTGGACCAGGAGGCGTGCTTCAATGAGGCGCCGCTTGGGCACTCACCTGAACCCAAGCGTCGGGCGTCTTGGGTGAATGCCCGATTCAAATAAAGCAACCGAACCAAACTTTTAAGTATGGTCGATTCAACAGTGGTTAGTTGGTTCAATTGAACCGAATAACCAGTTTTTTACTTGCAAAAGCCACCCTTGCACACCCGCGCAACCCCAAGCCGACCCTAGCGCTACTTCTGCCTCTACCGTCGGTGCTTTCTGCCACTGCTTCCATCGCAAACGTAGCAGATTGAGCCCTCCTCTATCACCGAGGGACGAGTCCGACGACATAGCAAGAGCTCGTAGCTTCCTCCTGTTGTCGCTTCGTGTGCAGTTCCTTCCACCGTCGAGGGAGAGGATCATAGGTTCCTCCGCCACCAACGGATGCCCTCTGGAGCTTTTGCTAGTGTCGCTGCTATTGTCGTTCGCAACTTCCTCCATTGTCGCGGCTGTCTTAAATTGAATCCTCTGTTGCTCTGTTGTCACCGCAGCTTCCTTTGTCACCCCTGTCTTCTCCTTCCCTGCTTTCCATTGTCGGTGACACTTTTATCCTCCTTGCTACTGGTAACAATTCTTTCTCCCCCTCTAATTATTGTTAGCAATAAATAATATACTATTAACAATTGATTGTTAACTACTGTACAAAGCAATCTCTATTTACTAGATTTATAATACACTATTTAGATTTTAACACTGCTAATCTTTGTTTATTTAAAATTATTATTAGATCTTTTTAATTTATTGTCATATTTTATTTATATAATCATATTTATCAATTATATTATATATATTTTTATATTTTTATATTTTATAGTGTTTTGTTTTGCTTGAGCGATTGCCTAGCACCTCGAGCATTTTGGGGCCTTGGTGCCTAACGTTTTTTAAATCATTGGTGTCTACATGCATTGTATGTATGTGACAATACATATATGCAGCTGACTCAAAGGACATCGTGTCTGTAAAAGGGTTTTAGCGTGTTTGATGTTGGGATCGGAATGCCTTTTCTGTGATATTAAGCCCACTGGAAATGGGAGACAGTAGATCAGCCAGGTCACCCAAACCACGTAGCCTATTTTACAAATCAGATCACAGCTGTCTCATCTGCCCTCTTACTTCCCTGGTGTTACTTCCTATACCAAAGCACAAGGATAACAAGCATGGATATTGTAAATTATTGTAAAATTATTGAAACATGTATATATGTATTCTTCCAGTAGCAAACTGATAAAGTCCATTCAGTTAAATTGTGAATTAGTGTCCAATGTTTCTATTACCCCATTTTATCTTCTTGAACTGCAGCAGGGTGCAAACTATCCTTTAGTGCTTGAGATATGAGCTTCTAGTGTCTTATAGGAAAATGATACCAAAAAAGATGTCACTGGTTCTTGTTAGGCCAAAAAGTTTCATGGAGAAAAATTCAACTGGTGTCTAATAAAATCATGATTCTGAGAAACCATGACCAACCACTTAGCAAACCATGTAGTGGAACTGCAAGTGCTATTTTTTATATGCCAATGTACTACCATTTTATTTTCAAAGAAATGCCTGAAGGTTTACTTTCATCTAATATGTCTTTGCTTCATTTATCTTCATTAATTTTATCGATGCCCTCTGTTCTTCATCAGCAAATCGAACTGTTGAGGTTACTGAAATGTGGCGAGCTCGGGAGAAGGAATTGGAGTTGGAAGCTAAGCTTGAGGATAGATCAAATAAACACAGACATAAAAGCAGGGGTGAGAAGCATCACACCAATTCACCACATATGGGTTCTAGTTCGAGGAAGAAGAAGGAGAACATGAAAACCACCATCTCATGCTTGACAAGCAAACAAGATCTAGAAGACTGCTGCTCATATGAAGATGACGGTCTAAGAGACGAAGATGTTGAAGAGTTTCTTCACTCAAGGTTATAAATGATTTTACTTTAGGCCTCGTAGTTGTTAACCTCAATATGGTTAAGAGCATTCTAGATATTTATGGTACTACCTAGGTGCATAGGTACCTGAAGCATTTGCCTTTGCACGTACATAATCAGCGTTTCTGCTCTTTCGAGCACATTTTGACCAATTTCTCATGACTACTGTATACAGGGCGAAGCGGGGCAGAGGTGCTGTAGGTTCAAGAATGGATGAAGCTGGTCCATATCTTTCACAGACATGTTCTGATCAAGATGGTCACTCGCCAAGTCATGATGTGCGGGTGAAGGAAGAATGGGAAAACCGTATTCTTGGCCCTGAGAAACCAAGCTTTCTGAAGCTTGACAGTGCACTTTGTGATGATTCCGATACAGAAACTAGGGTGTGCCATACAAGTAGCTCAAGGAAATGCCATTCCAAGAAAAGGAGATCAAGGGAAGAGAAACTAGGAAAAAGAAAAAGGACAGAACAGAGATCCAAGCATCACAGTAAAAGCAGAAGAGCAAAGGATTGATGTATAAGGGTGAGATATTCAGATGTTGTCTTTTTATTATCTTTTCTACTTGAACCTGCTTGTAGAATTAAAATATGATTTCACGCATTTGATGGATCATCCAAGTTACATCAAACCCATGTAGTGAGTGCATCAATACCTCTGTGGTTCACGAAACCCATGTGTTACTCTTTGGATGTAGTACTCTTTGTTTGACCCCTAAAAAAAAAAAAGCGGAGTAAAAGATGTTTAACCTAGAAAAGATCAGCACAGAATTGATTGGAAAACAGCTTATATGATTAAGTAAAAAAAAAAGATTCATTCAATCTTTGTTATTCAAAATGTTTGTATCCATGTCCTTGATGGTTAATCCAATTAATTTCTAGGATGAAGGTTCATGTAATCATAGATCGATTGGTTCTTCTGGTTGTATAAGTCTGTCGTGCTTGCTATTTTCATCAACTGTGATCTTTTATTAGTAGTTGTCTCTTGACAGGACCATGATATATCCCTTAATGAGATGTATGACATACTCTGCAGGCAAATTTCTGTAGTTATCAAGATTCTGGTTTCTGCTTGCAACCACGCTTATGGTGAGCTAAAAGCATGCCATTTCTTAATCCACTGTTTGTTTGCTAGAGCCTGTTGTGTGTTGTTAGGATCAAAGCTCCTCCTCTCCCATGAAATAGAGGATTGGTTCCACAACCAAATCCATAAATCAAATGTCAACTGTAGCTCCAATTAATTTCTACTGTGTTCTTTTAAATCGGTCATTGCAATTACATTTTATTAAATATATAATTTTTTATATATATTTCAATGATGATAAAAAAAATCTATATAATCGATTTTAAATAATTAAAACTCATGATTTTGTTATTGTTATTGACATCCATATTGAATGTGACTATAAATGAATAAGTAGTCTTTAACCACGTCTTAAATGTATCGCAGAGACACTATGGAGGGAGTGCATGCCTAAGATGGCAGATTACAGAAAAGAGGAAAACACCACGTTAGGTCGAGTCACAAGACATGGAAAGATGGCTCTTTCTTTGCAAACAAAGTGAAGAACTGGTGGGGGCGGGGGTGTGATTATAATAGGTGTACTGCTCCATTGGAAATGGTAAATGTGCCTCCAATCATCATCTCATCCAATTGATATTATCTTATTGTTTATCTTCTGATCTCTTCCTCTATCCCCGCAAACAACAATGAGACAATATCAATCGGATGAGACAAGGTTTCCAATGGAGGAGTCCTCGGAATCTTCTTCTTTGCAAGGTTTGCTTTTATCTCTTTCTCTATCCCGCAAAATTCAATTCTTCAACCTATCAGCATTCCTGATGAGTGGAACCACAAGGCCCTGAAAAAAAATTTAAGAATCGATCACCCAACCATATTCCCTTCAATCTTGATGGAACACTCGAGTACTAGGAATTCAACACCATCGTTTACAAATCTCTCTGATATCAATCAACATACCTTGGTTCGGTTTCTATATATAACATCGGATCCACATCGACTTCAGTTTCTATATATAACATCGGATCCACATCGACGACCGCATTGATGATTGGCTGGTTTTGGATCGAGGAAACAAAGCAACCTGAGAATACAGAAATCACAAAAATATAAAGATGCGAGTCATCAACGAAAATGTATCTTAATCACTTATCAAATTAAGTACCTTAACAAAACCTGACATGAGACCATGCTTTTCTACAAAGGCATCTTAATATTCATACTGAAGCTTCATCAGATTTGTCATACAATATAGAGTTCATGGCTTAAAAAAGTACTAGAATATGCATATTTACCAGAAAAGTTCAAAAGACTGAAGCTGTATTTTAACAACAATTGAAGAATATATCATGGTCTTAATTGGACACAAAATCTGCCATCACAACATAATTCCGATAGGCAAACCCAAGAGACTTACTCCTCTTTCCCTTTCCTTGATGAGGTAACTGAGGTTCTGAAGGTGAGGTTTTGGGGGTAGCATCTGAGGTTACTTTAGGCTTTTCTTTGGTTGAACCTTCTTCTTTGAGCACTCATTTGTCAATTTTCTCTGTTGCAGGAGTTGGTTGGGGAGCACCAGCAGGAGGTGATCGTGGTCGAGCATCTTTGACCACTTTATCATCTAATGGGACAACATGCGTGCCGCTAGGAGAAGACTTGGATACCACAGAAACCTTAGTCCCAGGTGTCACAGTATCACCTTCCTTGGCTACAAATTGTCAATGGCGAAAAGCACTGAATTTTGTATCAACTGCAAGAAGGAAGAATCAACTATATAGGAGAAAATTATGGGAAGCCAAATTAAGATTACATCTGACCTTTTAAATAATCCCAGCTTCAGGACTATTTACATGAATTGTCACCTGAAACAAAGATCCATAATGAAAACAGTTCTAGTAACCAGCTACACTATAAAAATCAAACAATAAAACCTTATCAGTCTCAATCTGGGCAACCGGTTCATCAACTTCAACCCCTATCACCAGGCTCTGTGCCAGATATCATGCCCATTAGACAATTAGCACATTTGGATTGTAAAAAGACAAGCACATTACATGCATTTACGAGAACTTGCCCCTAAATGTCTCAAATAGGAACAATTAGATATCACAGAACCAAAAAAATATGATTTTTCGACTTTGTTTATCAAACTTAACCAGTTGTTTCAGGAAACTTTGAGGTTGACAGCATATGTATATGCATGACGGGATGCCTGCATAAGCATCAACAACCATGTTTATATGCATGAAGCAAAGAGCAAAGTACATACTTTTCATGAAGGTAGCTAAAGTCCCATCAGTAATAGATTCACCCATGAAGGGAACAATAGCATCAACCAAGTCCCCTGGAGCTTTTTCTTTTCCTCCAATTCACATACTTCGTTTCCAAACAAGTCACAGGAGAATGGAGATAGTTTCTAATGCTGCAAAAGCAGGCAAGATAAGCATATGCAAGTGTGTACCATTCTCAGAAGCAAATGACCTACTCCACATTCGATAAGGAGGCCCTTAGGAGCAGCCTTAAGTTCCCTGCAATTTTCACTTATGCATGATGTTAAAGAACACAAACAAGCAACATTCACAACATAAGCACTTCATCTATAACAGAAAAATACAAATTAAGTTGAAGCAAAGAAAACCATGAGGACCACTAATTAAATATGAAGGTAATATCAGAAAACCAAAAAGGCCCCTCTCAAGAGCTAACCTCGTAGGCTTCGAGTACACCGAGCCACCTGAAAAAAACATATGATGTGAGATTGTCATGACTATTACGATGAAGTGCAATTGTGATATATAGAAAAATCACCTGGATGCATATGATGGCTCAAGTGCTGGACATGTCTAGCACTACTTGCAATGAGGAGAACCAGCCACGACATACAAACTACAAAATTTAAGTGCATTCTAATGATGAAATGTAGAAAGGCATACCATGTACAAAAATGACAGAAGAAAATAACTCATGATCAGAACTCAGAAGCTTTATAAGTATAAACACATTTGACTCAGGAAAACCCTAAAAGAAATTTAAGCTGCATCATAACACCGAAAAGGGGAACCCGCCCATCTACATCCCACCATCTCTTCCCCAACCATTGTCCTCACATCAGAGGGTCATCCTTCAAGATCCATATCTTAGAATTTTTTTTCCAAAAAAGAGATGATTCTAATTAAAATCTAGCAAAATGGTAATAAGAGTTTCCAGCTGCATCAGAGCTGATTAAATTACAAAGATCAAAAGGAAAACCAAATTTCCAAATGCAGGTGGATCGAGAGAGTCTGGTATGATTGGCCATCCAATTCAAATCGCGATTGGAACCATTATCAACTCAAATTCAGAACTGCCAACAGGGTTCGATCGAAGTAGCTATTGATTGCTGCAAGTGAAATGCCCGTCCCAAAATCATGACACCTTTTTACGAGAAAACCGCTGCAGTGCTTTCGGCAATTCAGCCTCCGCTATTCGTTGTTTCTTCAAGGGTCTATCATTGTTCATTTGTTGCTCCAAGAATGGCCTCTTCGCCTTGAAAACCTCTTCTTCCTTCTTTGCTGCCCTCTTACTTGGCTTGTTCCTGCCCTTGGTCTTCTTCTTGAACGTAATGCTCTTGGCAGCCTCAACCGCAGTCTCCATCTCCTCCTCAGTCTCCTTTTTGGTCGGTCTTTCTTTTCTCCTTGGTGGCCTCACAGTGCCGATCTTGCTTGGCTCCAACATGATGGTCTCTGGCTGAAGCTTGTCGAGAAGAGCATGAACCTCTTTCTCTCTCCTTTGCTTCGTGGTCTCATACGGGTTTGCAACCCAAGTATCAAAGTTAGGCTCACCAGATCCTGGAATAAGTATGGAAGATATGCCCATTGAGTGACCAATACCCAAGACATCTTCATATGGTCGGAAAGAGACCTTTCCTATTTGGTATCCCTTCACCATAGCATGGCTCATATACTTCTCATATTCCTGATTCCCTGAGTCTCTCCATACTTGAACTCGAGATCCATATCCAATGGCAAGTAAGCCCTTCTGGCTGAAGTCCATGGTCTGAGCATGCCCCGAGTATGTATTGAGTACACCAAACTTCCTGAGGTCCCACAACTTGATCTTGCGGTCCATGCCAGCTGTGGCCATTAGTTGGCCTCCACTGTGGAAGGCAACTGCAGTGACAGGACCATGATGGCACAGCATAGTGACAAGGGGTTTCACACTTGTGGGCTTCCACATGGTGACTTTACCACCTGAGTGGCCCAAACCAATGACAGCATTATAAGGGTTCACCCGCATAACGTCAGTACGGCCAAGACCCGTCCGGTAATTGGCAACTATCACACCCGTGCTCACATCTTGGTAATGAAGTTGTGCAAACTTGTTTACTGATGCCAGGAGGAAATGCTTGTCCAAAAATTGAAGCTTTAAAGGTGCACCATGCTCCTAAGATTCAAAACAACAGTTAGTAACTTCCATCAACCAACAAAACAATATACTAAATGAACAGCAGGCATTTTGTGGTTAATGAGTGAAGTCCTATCATAGTATCAACCAAAAAGATAAGCACTGTATTAAAATATAATAGACAAATTTTCATTTAGAATGTGAAGGCAAGTATCACTAAACAGTTGCATTCATGACAAGTGTTGGAAGTTCTACTAAAAATAGCCAAATTATATCTCAGTCATCGTGTCATTCTTTAGCATTATCTAGATGGACAAGAGCTGCAAAAGCAATAAAATCCGTTGACTGAACATTATGTCATGCTTTAGCATTATCTAGATGAACAAGAGCTGCAGAAGCAATAAAATCTGTTGACTGAAAGTTACAACCTCAATGCAACTGAACTTACAGAAATTTAAGTTGTAAAAGGTTTACGAGAAAAAAACACAAACTTTGCCCCTTGGAATAGAAGTCAAAACAATAATCCATGTTCACAAAGCCTTACCTCTAAACAGTGTATTTCTGTACCATGTCTGTTGTATATATACGGATACCTGCCAAATTTAAGACCAGCATATTGATAATTAATATCACTAGTTCAGATGGTAACAGTAACATAAACACAAACACCATAGTAAACACCGAAAGCAAAAGTGCAGATTTCCAAGCCAATAGTTCTGCATTGACAAATTGACAAAGATGTTTACTTGATATTATCTTACAGTAGCCAGCGAATGCAAAAAAAAACGGATGACAAAGCCTTGGGCAGTTATACTTGGAAGAATCTATATATAAACAAATTGACATGGCTTGTGATGATACCAAGAAAATTATTGTCAATGAAACTTTTGCAACTAGTGTTTGTCCTAAGCATGTGAGCAAATTGAATCTTAGTAAGATGTGAACATCTTAAATCAATATTTACTTGATTTACACAAACAGGTAAGCAACACAAACTAGTTTGATCCTTTCGTTGCACACTCAAAATATAAATGTATAGACCATGCATCACTCAAGGCACTTAACAAATGCTTAGTTATAGTACTGATTTTGAGGTCTGTATATTTTGTGATAATTGTGTTGAAACTTTAGCAAACACATGCGCAAATGCATGCACACAATGCAAGACATTTAAATGATCAATCATAACTCAATTGTTTTTAATAAGTTCGTGATAGATCGAAAAAATAATATCTTGATTTACATCACATCAAAAATTAATGTATAGATTGGCCAATTTACCTAGGAATTGCAAGTAATTGACCATTTTTCTCTCAAGATTGAAATTTGCCTTCAATGAGATGCTACGCAGGATCTTCATACTCTCTATAGCTTAAAAATTACTGGCATTTCCCTATATTTGTGCATTCTGTTCACAGATTATGCATCTATACCAATAACAGGTGGAACCTGATCTATCACCCGATACATATCAAATAATACACCCTGATTTGAGAAATCTGATGTTCTCAAACTGCACCAGTATCTCCATCTAATAATTTATACAGATTAACCAACAATCTAAATCAGGATTTATGCAACCTTGACACTTTTTTTAACAAGTGGAACCTCAATACTGTTGAAATTCCAAAATTTCTACTATTGGCTATGCATGTGCAACATACATTGCTCGTATCAGATGCAGATATCATATCCAAGTTTCTAGAGGCAACATATTCATGATGCTGACTAAAGAAATTAAGATTTCAGAAAACCATCCATTCAATAGTTGTTTTCTAAATGAATTAAAGATCAATTCCTATTATCCATTTCACCCCCACGGTAATAATTCTTGCATGACAGATCTACAATCTAGATTTATCTTTGCTCCTAAAATTTATAAACTTCTGTTGTGAAAATATTGCAACTCAAATAGAACAGTATAGATTCTCTCATAAATAAAATGGGTTTCAAAGAATTTGTTCACTGTAACTTTCCCTGATATAATAAGCTTGTGGAAGGTTTATCAGAGTGATCAAGCTTATTTTGTCACTATCTGGATCTCAGAAAGTAAAAGAATTATTACAAAAGAAAAAATTATCATCCAAATGAGGTAAGCAAGTACATTATTCTTAAATTTGAAACTTCAAGAGAGATTACTTTTTCTGAGCCACTGCAAAAAATTGCTCATTGTGTAAGAAAACAACATCACGAACAGTCTCCCTAACCTGAAAAAGATAAAATTTATCAACCTAAGGCTCAGTAGAAATTATATAATAATAATTAAATCACAAATTCAAACTGATGTTCATTATACGTACGCCTAAATGCAGCTTGCCTGAGTGAAGTAGTGAATTACATTCGACATGTTTAAAGTAAATATCACACATGTATCTCAGACACCTGTTTTTGCTTCCCTCGGGAAACAAGATCATATACATTTTTGTGTCCATTTCAAGGTATATTCAAATAATACTTATCAATGGTGATGAAGTGGATAATTCTTTGCTTGGGTATGTTTTTTATGAAGTTAAAGAAGTATCACAGAATTATAAGACAACTTCCATTAGTCATTCTTTCTCAGTTTGCAAGCCACACAAGTCGTATTTCCAAAGAAAGAAGATAATATATTCTAATCTTCCCTATCTCATATTACATACATGAAATCAAACTCCAAACATATTAGATGCATGCATATCAGTTTGAGTTCTTTATCAATGAAAGATTGAGGGCAATCTTGACCAAAGACAAACCTGAAACTCTTTGATCAGATCCATACTCATCATATCCATCATAGCAAGGTGGCCTTTACGTCCTCCCACCAACATATAGCGTCCGCTTGATGCATATTGGAGGTTATATGGACCTAATTCTGGACATCATCGAGCAAAAGACAACTTGGGCATAAAATATTATCCAACAAAGGCTATTCGAAGAGGCGAAAGAAAATCAGAATAACAACAGACATGTCATATAACCAATATAATAAAAGGAAAGACACACGACACCCGAATTAGAGATGTCACAAACAGTTGTGTAATCCAAGGGTTGAAGTATTTCAGTACCAGATAGACTTTTACTTCCAAACAAGAAAAAGCAAATTTTACCAGGTAAAATCATATCGAATGGCTTTCTTGAACTTATAACATCCACTTCATGAATTATAGACTCCTGCTTGACCATCCATGTTTTCTCTAAACCCTCAGGTTCCAAATAGCCTTCATCTGTAGGCATTAGCCACTGAAAGAAATAGAACACAGAAAATCATTCATGATTCTGTAGCAAAAAGAAATTTATACTAACATCTTCCAGCAGCAAATGGTAGGAGATAACAATCTTGGGAAAAGGAGAAAAAACAAAATGGCAAGTAAAATTTCAAAATTCATGGAATAAACTAGGTCACTACCAAAGCAAATGCACAATAGAAACATGGCATGTTAGTCAAGCTGCTTATGTGTCAAGTCATGCAACCTAAGTTAATTTAAACTAATCTATAAAAAAACATAGCTCGTTAGCAATCATTAATGCCTCACAATCTGCTAAATTTCAAAACAATATATGTACTGTAGAGCACCAAGTAGTTCACTAGATGTAGCTACAAAATCATTGGCATTAAGTTGTAATCTAGTGAAAGAAACAAATATCGCAGTTGAACCTTCTCTGCCTTGGCAGCAGCTTTTGCAGACTGGCTATATAATTTTTCCCTAACAGCAAGCTGGCCCTTCAACTTTTTATCTCGTAAAGTCTGAGGCATAAAGAAAAAAAAGATGAAAAGTCAATATAGCAAACTCTACATATGAGAAGAAAACAAGCTTCAAATTAAATGATAAGAATAACATACCTCCAAGTTAGCACCATCACCACGTAAATATTTTCTTGTTTTCAAGTTCAACTCATCAGACATATCCTGTAAATTAAGAAAGAATAATAAGTAACTCCTTGTTTGAAGAACTTATAGCAATGTATATACGTTAGTTCTACAATCAACAAGCAGCTAAGCAAAGATTCATGAATATTCACAAACACTCTCCGCAAAAGAAAATTTTGCACATTGATTCCAACAAGAAGGCGAGATTTAAAGGTGCAACAAAACATGTTAAATGAGAAAAGGACTGGTACCGATGACATCCAAAGAACATAATTTGCAGCTATCACAAAAAATCAACCTCAATTTAGACCAAAGATTGAGGACAAATACATAAATAATCATTCTTTTATCATCAGCCGAGGACTTCACTGGAAATACAGGCCTCCGTTAATCATCAGCCCCACGATTTAGACAGAAACAATCAAACATTAACAACAAAGGCGTTAAGATTCAACTTTTACCTGCTCGGTTGTAGTAACCAATCGATCTTTATCCATGATTTCTTGATTCGCCGCCATCTGGCCAATTAGCACCACACTAAGTCAAGCATACATATTGAATCGAAAACAAAAACTAGAACGAAGTATAATAGTTGATCTCTACCTGGAGAGGGTGAAAAGTATGGAAGTGCAAGAAAACCAACGAGGGTTATCTGGGAGACAGAATAGACTACCTGACTAGTGCGCACTGGCCATTGAACGCTGTTGCTATTGGGGAGGAGGAGGATGGAGCCGGGGGCTGTAAGGTTCGGAGGAGTCGGAGTATGGAGAGAGAGGCTGTCGCACTCGGAGGGAGGGGGCGGAGGAAGACTAGGCAAGGACAGCGCCGGGCGGCGCGGGGGGCGTAGAAGGAGGGACGGGAGTTGCCGGGGAGAAGACGAGAAGTGGAGGAGGGGGAGAACGAGACAGCGGAGGAGAACTTGAGGGACGACAATGGAGAAGGAGATTGCGAGGACAGCGGAGAGGAGGAGGGTGAGAGAGGTTGTCGTGAAGGGGAAGGAGAGATGTAGAGAGAGTTACCGTGAGTCGAATACAGCGCCGTAGGTTCGCTTGTGCAGGGAAGCTGTTCGCCAATCGTCGGAGGAAGACGTCGTCGTTCGCTCGAATTAGGTTTAGGTTTCACCCACGAATAAGACGCAGGTTTCCGTGTAACACTCATCTCAATCGTTGATCAAGCAATTCTAGGTCCAGATTACATATGAATCGACGGTTCAGATCGTTTACCTCTTTAAATTTAATAGATATTTAAATCTAAAATTTTAAAATAATATAAAATAAACATTACCACTAATTATTTTAGTGACAATAAATATATTTTTGTCCATGAAAATATTATTTATCATAATCATAATTTATAATTACAGAATCCAAAATATTCATAATAATATTAGCAAAAAAAATATGACTAATCTGTAAATTTAAAAGATTTAGTTATGATATTTTATTGATAAAATATTTATTATCATTAAAAATCTTTTAATGATAATATCATCACTAAGTCTTAATGTTCGCAGCAAAAAAAATATAACTAATGAGGAGTTCTTGAGATTTTTTATGAATAATACTAACGATGATCAGTGTTTGACTCAAAGGGATTTAAAGAATATTTCTTGAGGTAGATGTCAATTTGAGGGTTAGGCCAAGATCTGTCTAGACTCGATTGATTGGGTTTATGATTTTTTTATTGATGAGATATTTAAGAAAATTAATTTATAAAATTATAATAATATAAAGTTGAGGAGAGATGAACACGAAGTCATGGAATTTAGGATTAGCTGATTTACAAATTAGATATAATGTAAATTTGTGGGTTTAGATCACAATTTTTTTGGCAAGTTATGAATATTCCACTAATTAATATTAGGACTTTAAAAAAGGGTTTAGTAAGGTTATATATGACCCATGAGAGTTTCATATATACCTAATTCAATGAAATTATGATGATTATTATATTTGTCTTTTTTTTCCAAAAGACTTTTTTTTCTCAAAAAAATAAAAAAAATTTACCAACTTTCTAATCTTCCTAAAAAAAATTACACCAATAGGAAAAAGAACGTTGATGATTTGTTTTCTTTTCCCATTAAAAAGTCAAACATATTCCTCTGGATCAAGATTCATGGTTAGTATAAGTGAGCCTCGTGGTTGATTTGGGATTGGATTCCCTTAATAAAGCCGGTCTCAAATTGTTCCTAATGTTGTATAGAACTATTCAATCCTAAACTTTTGAAATAAGATGAATTAGGCTCATCAATTCCACAATCCTCATCACAATTCATTCGTCATGATGCGACAAATGATAACCTAATTTTATGGGTACATTCAAGCAGAAGGCAAAGCTCGACAGGATCTCTATACTCCCATGTCTTTAATTTTATGGATACCTTATGTTAGGTTTTTGTGACCCTTTTATAATTAAATAAGATATATAATATAATATAATAACTAATTGGGTTTCGAGGAAATCTCCTGAGATCTTATGGTAGACCCTCTGCTCTCACATATAAAATGACAGGACCTCTAAGGGGTTGAGAGAGTACTGGCACATTACATACAGACGCACCTCTCCGTTGAGGGATTTCAGTTTCTCTCCCCAAAAACCCTTTCTCCTCAAAAATTCATCAATCTCAGTGCATCATGTGAAAAGCATAAGAAAAGAGGAGAAATGATCTAGTCACAGATTCCGCAGCGGATTTGGATTAAAGACAATCGTTAAATTAGATCTATACATTTGATTTCAATCCTGTCATATAAATTATTTTCATATTTTAGATATAACATAATTACATATTTTATGCTTACACCTTCTTCTTCTTCTTTGCCTTTCTTCAGCATACTGATGATGGCTATTACAACCACCATTCATTTAATTCTCAACTGGATGATGAAGGCATGCAGTGTGATGCTTCTCTTTCTTGTTCAGCTCAGAGTCCCTCATCAGGTGGCGGTCAGTACAGACTAAGACAAATACAAGACAATAAAAGAACTCCAGCCTGATGTTTAATGGATTGACTGCTTCACGAGAACCTCTAGAACGAAGAAGCCGAAACCAAAAGGTGATTCAGTTGAATAAGGATGTGAGATCATCTGGCTATCATGGTAGGAAAGGGACAAGGAGGATTGCAGGGGTACAAGAGAGCGTTCATTGAACCGGGGATGGGAGAAAGGAAACACACAGGTAGTGTCGTGGACGAACTCCCAAACCCTTAGTGGGATGTTGATCCCAAACCCACACACACAAGAAACCCTAAGCGGCAGCACATCTCAGCCTCATGTCGTGGGAATCACGTAAGCAATTAATTATACTGCTCATGCATTGTTCATGGCAGCTTCAGATCCCCTCCATCTTCTTCTTCTTCTGCCCACCTTCATAGGTTAGCTTATGTATTATTGCTTGCCCTCCTTGTTCTTCTTACCTGTGCCATGTCTGAGTAAAATATTGCAGCCTCCAAAACATCTTGTTTCCTTCGTCGTGTGACCTTAAAATACTGCAACACCATCCATTGTTGCAGTCAAGGTAAGCTGGGATACCATGTCATCGAGGTTGCAGATCAGCTTTTGTCAGGTTCTGACACATGAACTCTTTGTTCATCCCTGTAAAGGAGGGTGGTGTCTACTTTTTAGGGTCATTAAGTTGAGATTGGCTAAGAATTGCCTCATCTCTGTAAACTTTGGTTGTGGCAATCAATGGATGCCTTTGCCAAATGTATTGGGCAGCCTGCAATGAATTCTGCATCAGTCTCCCATGTGCCTCCACCTTCTGCAAGCTTGGAGCTTTGCTACTTGTCCCATGCTGCCACCACAGCTCGATCGTGTTGTGTGTTCGTGAAGCTAGCAAACACTCATGGATGTCCTTCATGGAGCAGTTCCAGCCTTTTACTGTGTTGCGTTCTGTGAATGCAGTATCATTGTCTATCCAAGTTTGCAGAATTCAGCAAAATAGCACAGTGTCAGAAGTTATATGGAGATATATGATCATCAACAGTTTCACCATTAGCTATTGAATAGAGTGGATATGACCTTAAATTGGAGCTGTTTGTGGACCAAGGAGAGTTGCATCATTGAGTCATCCACAGGATAAATGTTCCATCAGATCACTAAAAGTAGCAGTAGCTCACACCATCCAAATGATTGTCCACTCCATGTCCTCATCCAGACTGTTCCAAGCTTTTGAATCAGCACAGATGGCTGGAGAAGAAGAAGTTATCACAAGAGTGGTCCATGGAAGAGGTAGAGAGAGAGAGAGAGAGAGAGAGAGAGAGAGAGAGAGAGTAACCCAAATGTATAGCCAGACATACAATACAGCATCTCATGACTCTGTACTATTTGGTTGATTTGGAGCAGCTCTTCCACAATTAATATTGTGACTGTAGAAGAATAGTTGTCACTTGTGAGGCCACTGTTCTACAGACTCTGATACAGATGCCCCCATCTGACCAGGTCAGGAGTGGAGATGGACATTAAACACAACACTAATCATGGGTCTCAATCTGATGTGAGCTCCACCTCCCTCATGTCAAAGCAAAATCTTGAGCAAAATATTCTTGGCCAAGTTGGGACCCAGATGCCATTGACTAGCATCTGAGCTCACACACCCTCCTTCTTCTTCCAGCTGGTCCCGGAGGCCCATGGCATCTCTTTCACAAGCCAAATGGAATCATGCCTCCTCTTTCTTGCTCACCTTTCCTTCCTCTTTCTCTCTCTCTCTCTCTGCTGCAGCATAGGATCCTCTGTTCATGGCAGATGCCATCCACAGTGAGGGAATATCAAATATGGGAGAAAATGGGACACATGGCTGCATCAACACTGAACACTTCTTCCACATTAACCATCAGTTCATCTGCTCCGTAAAGCTCACTTACAAGTGGATGAGAAGACTAGAGATCCTAGAGTCAATAGCTCAAAGATTATTTAGACTTTGGCTTCCGAAGAAAAAAAAAGAGGAGACTCGAGGTTTTGTACACTGATACAGAGAATTTTGATAGTCCTCTCGTCCCTATGGAAGTGATCTGCTAGAGCTGGTCTCCTCTCCGGTACTGCTGGATCCATCGGAGTGATCTGTGACGCAGCTCGAGCCGGATGAACATGATGTGGAATGACTTTGATCGCCACCTCTCTGCCCCATGAAATCAATGAAGCCATCACGTGTGATGGGGTCTTCGTCTTCTTCACCAGCTTCATCGGTTCCGACCTCCATCTTGGTAGCCCTCTTCTTCCTAAAAATGCGACAGAGCACCCAGTCGCCGCTCGGATCTACCGAACTCTGCGTGATCATAAGCATCATAGGACTCAGCAAAGATGACACAGTCACCGGAAAAGCGTAGATTCTCGAAGAGGAAGAAGACGGAGAGCTCACATGAGTCGAGTTCTTTCTTTGGGGGAAGATGCAGGGTCTAGTCTCAGGTCCGGCGAGCCGGTACTCATGCATGATCCAGTCGGTCTTGGTCCCCGTCGGGGGCTTTCCCCGGTAGAAGACCAAAACCTTCCTCATCCCGACGACCACCTGGCTGCACCAGGAAGACGTGATTTGCTTGTCCTTCCCTGTGGCCTTCCAGTACCCGGACCTCGCCGCCCGGTTCGACCGGCTACCCCTGGGGTACTTCGCCTCCCTCAGATTGAAGAAGTACCTCTCCTCCTCGCACCCACCTGAGCACCGCGAGGACAAGGCTTCAGTCACCGCTACAGGTACAGTAAGGATCGCTATAGGACGCACCTGGTAAGTCCCACGGATCGAGTCTTGCGAGATTGATCTCAGGGATGATGGCGGCAGGCAATGGGCAGGAGAAGGCCTTCCTCTTAAGGTACTGAACCACCAGCTCCTCGTCGGTGGGGTGGAACCTGAACCCAGGTGGGAGCCTCAGCACTCCATGCCTCGCAACAGCACTCGGCTTCCTGTCCATCTGCAACTCGAACCAGGAAACAGAGGAAAGAAACTACTGCACCCAGCAGCAACACCAACGACAGCGAGGTCTCTCTTTGTCGAGCTTAAGGTCGATTCATGCTTTTTCTAAGTCCGGTTAGCGGAAAGAAGGTGCAGGGAGCAAGTGGACAAGGAGGTGGAGAGGGCGAGAGCGTGGGTGGGGGTGGGGATGTGGGTGAGGGAGTGGTGGTGGTGGTGGTGGGCTTTATAGGAGAGGTTGCGGCCGCAAGGCGACG